AAGGAAGTAAATGTGAGGGGGTAAGAAACTCGAATCAAGACTTCCTCCGCTTTTCATATTTAATTACGTAGATGTAAGACTGATGACTGTTCAGTATAGAGGTTTCTCTATGAGTGAATTCAATGTGACATTTCTCTTAAAAGCTTTCAGAAATTAGAACAGTAAGACACGCAATACATCAGGCTCCTTAAGAGATTGAATATCAATGATTTATAAAACATTGTTCCATATAATGACCCCACAGGAGTTTATTATTGGACAAATTGATCTTTCTGAGAACCCCAGGCCTGGAGCACAGCTTCAAAACCTCATTTATTCGCCTCTTTCTTTGGCTATACCTGTTTCAGGACAATATGCCTGTGAAGGTGGGGAATACCCATAATTCATATTGAACCCATCTCCATATAAAGATGAACCTTTATTATTTATAGGAAGATAAATTCATCTATGAATTCTGGGAGTTTTCCTCTTTTGTCAGGTCTAAAAGGAACTCCATCTATTGAGAGATGATAACTTAAGTTTTGGGTCAGATATAAAAGCATGACACATTTTCAAAAATCCATTAACTCCAATATTGCAATGAATATACAGAACATGTATTTTGCAGAAATGATAATCTCTGAGACTATCGTACCTTGGAGACTTTAATTTCTTAAACAATGGTATTAAGATTAAGCCTCAGAGACTGTCATACTTGGGGTACTTAAATTTCTTCTACAATGGTATTCTGTAGAGTTGTACATGTAGCGTATATATAAGCTTGCTCAACTACCTGATGTATTTTAAAAATGAAATCATGAAGAATGTGAACAATAAAGGTGTACCACTGTAATCGTTAACTTATGTTGTTCTATCATTGCTGATTTGTGACAAATTAATATGACTTAATGTGTGTGGCCAGTCACATATTAGTGTGGTCAAAATGACTTAATTCCACAACATTAGTATGGCCAAGGTGACGCTATTCCTTGACTTTATAGCGGCCAAAGTGACGCTATTCCTTGACTTTAGAGTGGCCAAAGTGACATAGTACCATGACATTAGTGTGGCCAAAGTGGCATAATACCATGGCATAAGTGTGGCCAGCCAGAGTGACCTAGTTATGTCACCAGAAGAAATGGTTATTCCATTACATTAGTATGGTCAAAGTGACATAATTCCATGACATTATGTGGCCAAAGTGATATTATACTATGACACTAGTGTGACCAAAGTGACATGATACCATGACATTAGTGTGGCCAAAACAACATAATACTATGACATTAGTGTGGCCAAAGTGGCATAATTCCATGACATTAGTGTGGCCAAAACAACATAATACTATGACATTAGTGTGGCCAAAGTGGCATAATTCCATGACATTAGTGTGGCCAAAGTGACATAATTCCATGACATTAGTGTGGCCAAAGTGACATAATTCCATGATATTAGTGTGGCCAAAGTGACATAATTCCATGACATTAGTGTGGCCAAAGTGACATAATTCCATGACATTAGTGTGGCCAAAGTGACATAATTCCATGACATTAGTGTGGCCAAAGTGACATAATTCCATGACATTAGTGTGGCCAAAGTGACATAATTCCATGACATTAGTGTGGCCAATGCTTTTATAATGGAGAAGGTGAACAACTGTCTTATTACTGATTGCAGTGCTTACATTCTACATTTTAAAAACAATTTTGTTTTCATCTTGCCAAGTGATAATAACCCCTAAAAGCTAGATTCCAATCTTATAATAGGTTGTTAATGAGGATGAGTAAGAAACTAAAGCATGAGACTCAGTTGTGGCATAGTTCTTTGACAATCTTATGTAAATGTGGTTCAAGTGATATAATACACCAGGTATTCATCTTTCCCTTGGTATAACTGGTTTAAAAGCTATATATTATCAGTTAAGTCCCAGACCCCCCCCCCTCCCCCTGTTAACTATATATGGAAAATGTTGTTGACACACAGAATTCTTAACAAAAATATATATCATCATATACCTTGTTGATGAGTCTTTCATATTCATTTGACGGGGGTTCATATATTGGTTGTGCTATAATAGTAAAAAAAAAGTTTGAATATGAATATATTAGAAGTTGGATTGTGAAACAGAAATTCCCCAGGGATCAATGTCGGGGATGCTTATTATTTTGGTTCCAGACCCCCCCCTCACTGATAATATATAGCTTATTTGGCGACATTGATCTTTTGACGTGCTCCCTTATTGTGAATCAAGACAACAGTGTGACCCAAGTGACACTAATTAAGTGACAAAATCTAACCAATGTGACATTGAATATGATCAATATGACATGATAGCATTATCAAAGTGACATATTAGTGTGATCAAAGTGACATAATAGCATTACCAAAGTGACATATCAGTTTGATCAAAGTGACCTAGCATTATCAAGTTGAAGCTTGTCAATTTTTACTAGGTCTCTGTCTCATCTTGCGGAAACAAAATGATAACCATCTTATCAGTTGCATACTTGTTTCCCAGTTTAATTTTGAACACATCATACCTTGGAAATCCAAGATGAATCAGTAGTGGAATGCCAGGACCTCTTGTATTGTATTTTGTTGAGCCATATCTCACATTTTGAGATATTCCATCCTGTAGATGTTTTGAAACTCATAACTTGTCTATTATTACCAATTAGTACCCATAATGATCATACTTTATGACAGTGTTATGACAGTGTTATGACAATGAACTCCTCCAAGCAGATGAGCACATATCAAAACAAATTTGTCAGTCATCATAAACTCATAATATCAGATCATGTTGCTTATGTAAAATAGATGGTGGACACATGTCATGTTGTCAATCAGATTAGCTCATATCAAAAGATAGCTTGTAGTTAGCTTGTAAAACAGAATGCAGACATATGTGTAATGAACCTGGATTTCAAGTTGCTACTACAGCTCAGCTCAAGTGTTAGAGCATCAGAATGGAGCCAAAGGTCCTGGGTTCGATTCCTGTACGGGGCATTGACTTTAGCACACTCCCTTTCATGTCTGTATTTGGCCAGTTCAACAGCTCCTGGGATAAGAATGCCATTGGGTTGTTGCATTTAGATTAATCTCAATCAGACAATCATTAAATGTTTTTTCTGTAACTTGCAATACCAATGAATAATGCATAGATCTACTTAAAAACCTACACATCAATTAGCCAAATATTTGATTAATGAATGTTGGAATGTCTAGGATTTGATTAATGAATGTTGGAATGTCCAGGATGAAGAATCAATATTTTGCATCACTTCTGTTGGTTTTAACTGGAGTAAGATAGAGGGAGACTCAAGTCACACGCAATGTCACACATGGTTTAATTCAATAAAATAGAGTTATAATGAATTATTTCCCAAGCAACCAAATCATGAATTGTCCGAGGTATTGATATTTTAGAAAGACAATGCGTTTTTCCAAAGAAAAAACAATGAGGTATTTCCAAAGAAAGACAATACAATGATGTACAATGTTCTAGAGCAAGACGATGGGGTATTTTAAAAGGAAGACAATACGGTGTACAGTGTTCCAAAATGATAAAGAGGTTTTCCAAAGAAAGACAATGAGGTATTTGAAAAAAGACAATAAGGTATTTCGAAAGAGGGACAATGAGGTATTTCCAAATAAAGACAATGAAGTATTACCAAAGAGAGACAATGAGGTATTTCCAAAGAGAGACAAGGAGGTATTTCCAAAGAGAGACAATGAGGTATTTCCAAAGAAAGACAATGAGAAATTTCCCAAGAGACACAATGAGGTATTTCTAAAGAAAGACAATGAGGTATTTCCGAATAAGAAAATGAAGTATTACCAAAGAGAGACAATGGTGTATTTCCAAAGAGAGACAAAGAGGTAGTTCCAAAGAAAGACAATGAGGTATTTTTAAAGAAAGACAATGAAGTATTTCCAGAGAAACACAATGAGGTATTTCCAAAGAAAGACAATAAGGTGTCTCCAAAGAAAGACAATGAGGTATTTCCAAATAGAGACAATGAGGTATATCCAAAGTGAGACAATGAGGTATATCCAAAGTGAGACAATGAGGTATTTTTAAAGAAAGGCAATGAAGTATTTCCAAAGAGAGACAATGAGGTATTTTTAAAGAAAGACAATGAGGTATTTCAAAATAAAGACAATGAAGAATTACAAAAGAGAGACAATGAGGTATTTCCAAAGAAAGACAATGAGGTATTTCCAAAGAGAGACAATGAGGTATTTCCAAAGAGAGACAAAGGGATATTTCCAAAGAAAGACAATGCAGTATTTTTAAAGAGTGAGAATGGTGTATTTCAAAAGAGAGACAATGAGGTATTTCTTAAGAAAGACAATGAGGTATTTCAAAATAAAGACAATGAGGTATTTCAAAATAAAGACAATGAAGAATTACCAGAGAGACAATGAGGTATTTCCAAAGAAAGACAATGAGGTATTTCCAAAGAGAGACAATGAGGTATTTTTAAAGAGTGACTATGAGGTATTTCAAAAGAGGGACAATGATGTATTTCTAAAGAAAGACAATGAAGTATTTCCAGAAAAAAGACAATGAGGTATTTCCAAAGTAAGACAATGAGGTATTTCCAAAGAAAGACAATGATGTATTTTTAGAGATAGACAATGAGGTATTTCCAATCAAAGTGGTGAGACAATGAGTTATTTTTAAAGAAAGTTAATGAGGTATTTCCAAAAGAAGGACAATGAGGTATTTCCAAAGAAAGACAATGAGGTATTTCCAGAGATAGACAATGAGGTATTTCCAAAGAGAGACAATGCGGTATTACAAAATAAAGACAAATATGTTTCAAAGTATATTCGACTGCCTCAAGCATGAGTTGTGTATGTTGATTTCATACAACTGTATTACAAGAGTCAATCATTTATTTGAGATCGAGATTTTCCCCCGGGGATTTTCCATGACCTAAATAAGTGGGCGGGGCTCGCCGGAAGTTGAAAACAGGAAGTGACCAAGCGGAAGTAAGAAACTGAAAATAAACATGACACGCTCAACAAATATGTCACTTTTGATCAATATAAGTGGGTTCCTGGTAGGTATTTTACTTGAAATTGAATATTGTTTTTGTCTAATTCTCTGTTTCTATTTCACCAACTTTCGCTGTGATTGCTTTGTAGCTTGGATTTTGGATTCAAATCCGAAATGTTCATCCTTGAATTTTTTAATTTTCAAAATTATTTCATTTTTCAAAGAGAAATTTCATTATAAATAGCAATTTATCTATGCTAAATAACATGGGTTTCTCTTGAAAGGCTATAGTCCTGTTACCTATATGGTTAGATGCTGTCACCGAAAATCACATATACCTCCCATAAATGTACGATTGGTTTTTACACAGGCTTTCAATATCTGTTGAAAGCCCGTGGCTTTTATTACACCCACAACTAGATCTGGGTATGTATTGAAATCTTGCGATTGAAAAACATTGTCAGTAGTTGACACAAAGCTGAATTTTATCTAAATAACCACTAACCGGCTTATATTCAACCACAAGATTTCAATTCTAGTTGAAAGCCCATGATTTCACGGGGGGAAAGACCTTATACAGTACTCACCATAAATAAATGACACTAAGATTTGCTGAAGTGAGGATTTCCCATGATAAAAAGAACTATCAAATCTAGAACATGGTGATAGAAAATCAAGATTCCATTTATTTATGATGAGCGCGCGCTGTAGCTCTCTGTGGAGATTATGTGATTTCCTTTTCCATTTGAAGCACATGTCACCATACTTAAAATCAGTGTCAATATGTTTGTTTCAGGACTTATTTGGTGTCAGCATGTTTATCCCTTTGATGTCAATATGTTATTTCAGGATTTATTTGGTGTCAGCATGTTTATCCCTTTGATGTCAAAGTATGCTAAAGAACTAGGAGCATCACCCTCTATGGCAGGAATGTTAGGTAAGGTCTTGGGAGTGCCGTTCTGATATGTTTTGCCTTTTTCTTATTTTTGACATTTAGTGATAGCAAACTGAGGTTTGCCACATCAAAGCAGGGCTCGAAACTCGCGTTGCTATGGTAGTTAATAACTACCTGATTTTAAAGAAAAAGCTACCTATTAGTTTACCCAGTAGTAATTTTGGCCACCCAAACCGAACCCACATTTATGGGGGAAGGTGAGGGCAAGGCCCTTTGGGATACAGTGTAAGATATAGAAGAGACAGCTATCCGAATAAGGATCTCTAAACATTTTTGGAGGATATTTATGTTTTCCTTACAATCTTGAAAATACCTGATAAATGGGATCCACATTTTCTAAATTATAATTGTCAAACTTTAAAAAAAACAGCAATCTCAAGAAATAAATTCATAATGATTTTTTGGGGAAAATACAAGTTTACAATTGACATTAAAGCAAAAACATTGTGAGAGCTATTCTCAACTCATCTCATAACCTCTGTTGTCCCTTTAATTAAATTAGTACGACTACACACATCTTTTTATTCCAGGCTCTGTATATGGTCTGCTGCAGCTATTCTCTTCCCCAGTTGTGGTAAGTGTCGCCATCTTTACTGTCCCCCTACAACATGTCTTGATTATATTGTTCAGGTGGTCCAGTGTTAATGGGAATAATGGTATTTGTATCAATTTATATCATTTTATGGTACACATAAGTACATTATGGAAATAAGTATATTTTGTGTGTGAAAAGAATTTAAACCCAAGACGCATTGTGGCAGATTCATCCCACCAAAGCATCGTTTCCTAAACTTTGCATTCCTGCTACGCAGCCATGCAAAGGTTTGAAAGCAACACCTTCAATGGAATGATTCAGCACACAATGCATGCACTGAGTCCAGGGCTTAAATCCTTAATTAAAGATATTGAAATATGCTTGTAATAACCTTCTCCCTAAGCTTGGCATGTTTTGAAAATGATGCGTGTAGAGGGGTTTCATGAGCAGTGGGTAACAGGTGATATCTCTTCTTGTTTTTCTGTTTTGAAATTATTTTTAATATTATACTTTTGCGTGTTGTTTTTATTATTCATTTCGCTTGTCGTCAGAAGTCCACATGGAACCCCTGCATGAATGATAACAAGATTTCTCTAAATAAGGGATGCTGTCCACAGTGTCCAGTTATCAACAGTTGTTAAATAACGAAGATAGTTTCCAAAGGGGAGGTGGTAAAGTATGGTTATTTAAGCGAAGAGTTTTGATTTATTTATATTCAAATGAAAGACTTTCCAACATTTTTAAAATTTTGTTAGCTTGAGGGAGGGACAAACCATAATGGAATTAACTTAGTTTTTCCATGATTGTTGATAATTGGAGACCACCCCTAACTGGACACATGTGTTTTCTAGGGTCAATGGAGTGACATCTCAGGACATCGCTATGTGCTCATACTATGTTTGCTAATTACGGCTGGAGGGTACTTCATGATGGCGCTGGCAACATCACTCGTCTTTCTAGCCATAGCTAGAATACTCCCAGGTAAGACAGTAATGTCAGTACTCACAAATATTAAAGGCGCATCACTCACTTGAGATTTTAATAATAGGCTTGCACCCAACTGAGATTCCATTTGCAACCACTTGAGGAATGAGGAAAATAATGAAAATAGGCATATTTTGACCAAATTTGGTCTAAATTATAAAAGGAAGAATTTTGCACCAACTTGAGAACAGATCCTGGGGAGAACAATATATATATTTGTCAGGGATATATATTTGACATTTGAAAAAAAGTACTACATTATGATCAGCTTGTATATATTTGAAAAAAATGTACTACATTGTGATCAGCTACATGTAGGTGGACGATAGTGGTGTCTCACTTTTTTGTTTGTATATTTTCAGATAAACCAATTAAGTGTTTGTTTAGATTAGACAGGTTTTACTGGTTAAGTCGCATAGCATAACAAAAGTCACAAAACTGCATGCAAAAAGCATCTTTACAGTAAAACTTACTTACATAAATGTCTTTATTTTCAAAAATAGGGCAAATTTTATCTCACAAATCACTAGTAATAACTCCTGACTCAAATACAAAGGCTCAAATCAAATGATAGTCACTTTACAAAGCTTGCGATCAAATTCCCAAGTTACATTTAATTTTCTTCGAATGGCGACTGGCGAGTCAACACTCTCATTTCTGCTTTAATAATACAAAGTGATTCGCTTACAGACAAAGGTGCATATATACGATTAATCATTGGCTTTCAGAGTACATGCCAATATAAATAATCTTGATTTTAATTATTAAATGCTGAAAATTAAGTCTTAGTCATATTACATTCGGAATCCGCATTCAATGATAAAGGATGGGTATCGATATGGTGAACTGAATTCAACAATGTTTTCTCAATAAATATATCGATACCACTCCTTTGAAATTGTGGTTTTAAAAATTGTTCATCAACTTTTGAAATTCAATTTTTAGAGCATGCTGGCTTGATTCTAAGGTGGCCTAATTTTTGTGTTTCACATCTGAAAGTCTTTTTTATTGTATTGTTTACTAGTTTCCAGGTAAACAGTTTCTTGGATTAAAGGCAGCACTTGGGGGTTGCTCATTGGTTAGATTTTTGGCATCTTGAATAAATATAAAAACACTCTGTGTCTAAAATTGTGTGTTAAAATCAAGGTTATCTAGTTAAATATACTCATGAATTCCAAACTTTGAGCTTTGAGAATGGAGAGCAATGGTGTTCAATAAGTACTGAGAAAAACTCTGTAACTTTTCTTTTTTTTCATATATCTGACTAATTTTCCTAGGGTGCATTTTTGAGTATTATACTGATGTAGTGTGAAAGTTACAGGAATGTGCTCCAACAGGAAGGTGGGTTTAGCCAAAGATGTTTAGTGGTGGATCAGGTTTGCACGAAAAAAGTTTCAAAATGACTTAAATGTGAATATTGCTCCTCAGTCAATTGCTTAAACACCACGGCCAATTTGTTACACATCAATGTCATTTCTAAATCATTATGAATAACATGGTTTTCATAACCAACACTTGAATCAGTCATGTCTGCAATTTTTCTGATAGGAATTCATTTAATATTTCTTTATTGCATCAATCTGACTATGGGAAGCTTTTGGTCACCCCTGTTTGGGTTCATCTTCAACTGACTTTCTCCCTCTTTGAAATAGCAGAACCGACAATACATGCCAGGGGATATCCCGGGGGTTCATTGTATATAAACCTTGACGGAGATCCTCGGCGCACATGGGGTACCTTTTTGGACATTTGGTATGGCAATGGACCCAAATTTTAGGAGGTGGTATGAGAATGCCCCCTTGTTAAACTTTTGAGGGATGGAATTAGTCAGATTTTTCGACTTTCTGGTATGAGAATGGTCATGGAAAATATGTTATCTTACAATTATGGTATGGAATTGGTCGAGTAGTTACACATATCCTAATATGAGATTGTTTTGGTTCGTTTTCCTCAAAGATCGCCTTCTTCTTGGGAGCTTCTTCAGTTTAAATAAATAGCTTTTTCCCCAGGAAATATTATGGCAATGGACCCAAATTTATGGAGGTGGTATGAGAATGCCCCCTCGTTAAACTTTTGAGGGATGGAATTAGTCAGATTTTTCGACTTTCTGGTATGAGAATGGTCATGAAAAATATGTTATCTTACAATTATGGTATGGAATTGGTCGAGTAGTTACACATATCCTAATATGAGATTGTTTTGGTTCGTTTTCCTCAAAGATCGCCTTCTTCTTAGGAGCTTCTTCAGTTTAAATAAATAGCTTTTTCCCCAGGAAATATTCTACTTTGGACCAGTCATGGCATTGGTCCTATATTTTGACATTTGGTATGGCATTGGTTTCATATTTGGGCATTTGGGATGGCTTTTGGGCACTATATTGGTTGGTATGGGATCCGGGAACACATTCAAATTTGACATTTTGGTATGGGAATATTTTGATATCTGAGGGTTCAGCCTAGGACCCCTGCCAAATTTTGTACACAGTGAACCCCCCGGGTAGATATAGTGTCCTTCCCATAAGCTTCATGAATGTCCTTTATTGTATCCTGTTTTGATTTACCTAAGGGTATATAGAACTTGATGCTGCTTCTAATTTGATGGTGAATATTATTGATATTCTGTTCAGCAGCCATGTTGTTGATGACATAATTTCTGCAGGGTTCATGGGTGTATATATTTTTCAATGATGTCATATGTCATCTGATCAATCTTAAAGTGCTGTGTGGTGTAATTGTATTCTAATGAATTGCTCCTTGATGTCATTTCCACCTTACAATCTTCTCTTGATGTCATCAATAGGTGTTGCAAAGGTATCTTAGTACAACTGTTTATTTACCAACTACCAAAATGGATTCAAAAATAAAATCATGTATGAATATGTTCATATTTTAAGTCGGTTATCTTGAAATTGTTTCGTGCAGACCTGAACCACCACGGGCCACCTTAGGCTCAACCCAGTACCACCTTTCTGTTAAAGAACATTCTTGTAACTCTCACAGTACATCAGTACAATACTAAACATTATACAGTAGAAAAGTTAGTCAGAAATATAAAAAAAAATTACAGCATTTTTATCAATACTTATTGAATGCCCTGTACTGTGCACAACACACAGTATTGATATTTTTCTTGAGGATACAAAATTGTTCACCCTGTGCCATGTTCTTACTTTGTGAATTCCAGATTTTGGATAATCAGCCATTTTATCTTTCATTTTGATGTTTCGCTTTGTTATTTTTGTCAGAGTTTAGATTTATTAGAGTTAAAGTGCTAGCAAAGAAAGTAAAGTGTAAATCTTCTTTTCCTTACAATCCTTAAATAGAATAGATACCTGATCCACTACAGAAGTTATTGAGGATTTTAAGCTGTGGAAATCTTCAAATTGATTTTATTGTCAAATAATTAGCCTTTTAATTCAAGGCATTAATATGTAATAACTCATTAGAAAATAAAAGTAATGCAAATTTTTTAAAACAAAGCATGCACGTGACAGTTCTTTTTAGGAAGTACTCTATTTGTCGACTCTGTTTTTTTGGCTTCTTTAAAATCACAATACTAGTTATCACAAGGATTTTTTCTCACATGGACACAATATTCTTATTTTCACAATTTAGACAAAGGGACAAGTCTTGGTTTGGAGAACAGCCTCCTGGGCTAATAATTTTGTTTCATGAAAAATATAGAAATAACTCCCAAACTAAATTATGAACATTCAAATGAGGATATTTAAATCTACAATATGTAAAAATATCAAAATTATCCGAAGCAGGCTTAACATGCAGTAGATCGATTCAATAAAAGACAAGTCTCAGTTTGGAGAACAAAGTTCATCAGTCTACTGCGCAAATAATTTTTTTATGAAAAATATAGAAATAACATCCAAATTGAATTATGAATATTCAAAAAAGGACATCTAAATCTACAATATGTAAAAATTTCAAAACTGTCCAAAGCAGGCATTACATGCAGTAGACTGATGAACTTCGATGACTGGTGAATCTCAAGTGGGTGCACCCCACTTGCTTCAATACTGGGAAAATCACTGTATTGATTCCTGTCTCGTCAGATTTAATGGTTATAACGTCCTGTTATGAGTTGATTCAACTTGCTAATTAAATAAAAGGGGTTGCGGAACTAAGTGACCGATCTATTAATTTCACCTTAATGAAGACAAAACACGATTGATATTGAAAAACAAAATGAAGGTGTTTTCATTATAATATGATCATGAACTAGAGTGAATGATATACCCTGTGCTTTTTATCAACATTATCAGAGTGGCTGTAGCATTTAATACGTCCACAAAAATCAAAATAGCAATCTGTCTCTTATAAGTATATGACTATCATACATATGATTTTTTTGAACACTTGAAAATTGCTTGGCAAGTAATTAGCAGGAAAGGTAGCAAAATGTAAAAGGTGTTTCGTCATAAAAAGGGAGTTACCCGTGCCTTGTTATTACTTTTGGTCTGAGGCATAACTAAGATCTAGAAATAGACAAGGCATATCATTTTATATAAAGTAAGGCAAGTGTTAATAGGTGAAGCAAATAATGAGTTTAATTGAAAAAACTGAGTTAACAAAGTTAAATATGGCACATACCCTCATCTTGATTCACAAGATTGCAGTTGTTCCTACCTCTCTAAGCAAATCCAGTGGAAAGTGACGATGACATACCCCAACATCAGATATTATTCCAACAAGGTATAGAACTTAGAAACATACAGTATTTAGATGTTGTATATACTTTGTATTAAAACTTTGGAATAAAAAAGTTTTTTATTTGTACTCTAGGGTTATTCAAGCACAGCCAGAGCATTGCCAAAGCATATATTGCTGATGTCACACCTAAAGAGGACCAATCAGCTGCCTTCGGGACATTTGCTGCATATTCAAGCATCGGGTTTATCGTTGGTCCATTGTGTGGCGGTCATATTGCAAGTCTACCAGGAGGCTTCTCTATTGTTGCGGCAATCGGGGCATTCATATTTGTCATTAATGCAGGTACGTGGAATCATTTTGATATATTACATGCACATTGAATGAAAATATTCAATTTATCATGGAAATGTCTTAAATAATTTGGCAACATATTTCATAGTTTTATAATATTTGAAGCAATGAAACTTCTTAAGTAATTTTTAAATTTACTTGTTTTTTAGTTTTATCAAATCTGAAGGCATGATAAAGGGTGCTTTATTTTTATTCATCCATTTTGTTCTTGATAACTGCTGTTAAGGCAGTAAATACTCCTGCCTGCAAAGCCTGTGCTTTAACTTCAGTTATTTTAATTCTCCTTAATTTCTTTAAAATTTGAATAAAGTGTCTGATTTTCTTGCATTTCTGTACAATTTAGAGTTTCGACTACATGCCTATTTACTTAATTCCTTGCTAACTCCACAGTTTCCCTGTTTATTTCCAATTTTAAAACATGACCTCAAGATGATTTTTCTCACTGGCAGCCATATTTAAATAGCTTCCCTTAATGATTGATGACTACTATAACAGTACTTTCTGTTTGAATTGTTCAGTTAATGCAATAAACTTTATAGCTCTTTATGGCAAAACTATTTTTTATATGCTTGGAAGATATTAATTATAGGTAATGTAAAGCATTTCATTATGGAGTTAAAGTAGCACTCTCTGTATCTGCAACTATTTCTAACTATTTTAGACAAGGCATTAATATGGAAAATTTCACCACCTGCCATTTATTACAGAATGCAGGCCACAAAACATTATTAACATTATTTTTCAAATAATACAAAAGTGCCTCTCTAGTTTAGTTTAGTGATTTTGAATCAGATAATACAAACAGTGCCTCTTTAAATTGAACTGATTTTGAATCAAATAATGCAAACAGTGCTTCTTTAATTGAGTGATTTTTAATCAAATAATGCAAACATTGCCTCTTTAATTGAGTGGTTTTGAATCAAATAATGCAAACATTGCCTCTTTAATTGAGTGGTTTTGAATCAAATAATGCAAACAGAGAAACAAAAATGAGTGATTTATGTTAGGTATTTGCTATGTAGTTATTCTTAATGGATTATTCAAATTTCCACATTATGAGAGTAATAGAAATATCAGTCTTACATTGAATCGATTCATGGAAACAGTTTAACCCCGTGAATGCCAAGTTTAACCCCTTGAATGCCAATGATATGTCAGTCACCGAATTTCTCACTAAAATGGCTCCAACTTTAACTTTTCTAAGTTATGTCATTTTCTATGTTCAGTGATATTACCAAAATGAACATCAAACGAAAGATAGAAATATGGCAAACCCCCAAAAATAATAAATGCTCTGGTATTCGAGAAGTTTTTACTGACGATTTTTTAGAGAAAATTATAGAGGATGCACATACCGAAGAACTTTGTTTAATCCCACTTTACAATATACTAATATAGGCATAGTTTTAAGATGGTTTCAGTTAATGCAAACATTTCAATATGTGTGTAATGTAAGAAAAAAACAAATTGTAAAGTATTTTTTTAAATTTTGAAGGGAATCTTTCAAATCCTAAAATTGCCGTAGTTAAGTGGAACACAAGTAGCATTAGTTGCCAGGTCAATGATTTAGGTCATATGGTGGGCAGGCATGTCACCAGATTGGGTTGAATTCAATTAGACCTTTCCAGTAAATCCTGACCCCTATTTGTGAACCAAGGAAACTAGGGTATATTTGCTAGATTTATGATGTCGTACTCTACAGCCAGCAATGTTTGTAAACAAAATTGAAAGAAGTTTTTGAAAATTAGCAATATTTTAATCCTATTTCTGCACTGATATTGTAAGAATGACATCATAACCAATAGATGGCATGATTTACTAGATTGGTCTATTTATGACTTGTTCGTGAATGTGTAGCTGGGCGATAGATGACTTTTAGCAAAAACTTTAAGTAACATATTTTTATTTTCAGCTATTCTTTGGTATTTTGTGCCAGAAGCTGTGCCGACTAAATCAGAAATAGATGGCATTACTAGAGAGGAGTCGACTGTCAATTTGCGACGTTTCAATGGTGATGAACTCAACTTCAGCCCTGGTCAATTTATCGACAATTTCAAGAAAATATCTTGGGACCTATTATGGGATATATTCTTGATAAAATTTTTGCAAGGTTTCGGTGTGATGATTTATAGATCAAACTTCATACTGATGTTAGATTATCGTTATCAAACGACACCTGCGATGAACGGATATATCATCTCATACAGCGGCATCATCGGGGCATTAAGTGGATTTTTAGTTGGAAAAATATGTGGATTCTACAAAAATGACGCAAAATTGTTATGCCACACTGCCATTGTCCAAATGTTTATGTTCCTTGCATTAACATATGCGCCATCTATATGGGTTCTTATTTTATTTTTGACTCCCCTTGGGGTAGCAAACCAAGTAGCAAGGGTATGTGTGACTAATATTATGCTTCGTAAAAGTGCTAATACAGATACTGGGGCCTTAATGGGTCTCGGGCAAAGTACAATGTCTCTAGGACGTATGTTGTCTCCCGCTATTGGAGGATTCGCTCAGGAGTTTAGTATATATGGCCCGGGTTGGATAGCTGTTGGTTCAGCAGGTTTAGCTGTTATTATTCAAATTCTGTTTTTAAAAGATCCCCAGAATGATAAAAAGAAAACAAATTAATAAAAAATATAAATAACTCTCTATTTTACAAAAATTAAAATTTGAAAATGAATCATGATAAAGTGAATCCAAAATCAGTGAACTCCGATATTGATTCATGTTTTACAAATAAAAAAAACTTGACATGAATATTTCATTGGAATTAAGTAGCTTAAAATCTTGTAGAATTTAGACAAATGTTCCACATACAGTAAAACATGTGTAATTTGAAAAGCTTTGTTACATCAGAATAGTGTTCCACTTGAAAGGTGTTCCACAGAGTTTGCTTTTACCCTAAATAAGCAAGATTTTACTGTACTTCACCTGAACATAAATTAATGATAAGTCATTATTATCAATATTCGTCAAAATGCTCAATGAACTGAGAAACAACCCTGTGATTATTGTATGAATTTATTGTACTGATTATTGTATGAATTTATTGTATTGATTGTCATTGTATGAATGTGCTTAAAAGGCAGAATCAGAGATATGGGGAGTAACAAAAGATTCAAAATGCAAAAATTTGTAAACAAAATGTGGTGGTTTCCAATCACATCGACGGAAAAATAACCATATAATGTAAAACCTGTATATGATGAACACCAATAGAGTCACAACAAAGTGTAGATTTTATACAGGAGCCAGGATGCTAAATGTGTCTTGAAGTGTTTACTTAACACATGCGTTCATAAAAGAGAGGTGTTCACTAAGACAGGTTTTACTGTAAATACAAAAATTTTTATTTTTATATTTGGAATAAACTTAAGTATCTAGGTAAAATATTCCAAAACTGAAAAATATTTTGTAAAGGTTGCTTGCTTGATTCTCAAGGTATGAGTTGCTCCAACTTAATTTGTTTTAACCACTTGGAATTCGAATATGAAGGTTGCTAGCAAAATTTGAATCTGTCTCTAAATATTTCCACAATCAAAAGGATAATCATAAACATAAATATGTTGAACAATTACATGAGAACAATCAGTATTGGTATAGGCTTCATAAGATAATTTTGGTGATTTTATTTGTATTTATTTATTTGTAAAAATGTCAAAATTGTCATGTTATTTGTGTATTTAATTTGGTATGTACCAGTGTATTACAAAATCGTTATGTACTTAGTACTTAGATAAAGCGTGTGTCATATTAATTGGAGCGTATTGAATAAATGTTGTATCTCCTGCTTCAGCCAGGGAATGGGTAGATATCATATTCCCCTCGGATTTGAGTTCTATTATTTATGCAGTTTCAGAGTGTGATTTTATAGCTAGGCATATTATCGAAACAAAATTGGAAAAAAATCAAATTTATTTTTTGGGGAAATTGCAAACTGTGATGAAAAGGAAAGTGAATTTACTTACATATACTGTGCTCACAAATATCTCATATCACTCTACCTTGCATTTGGTGTTCATGAGCAACCCATCTGGCATATTAGTAATGTTATGTAATTTGTTCTTATTTGTCTGTTCCTTATTAATGGCTTATTGGATGACTGTTAGATGTTAATAAGGTACTTTCAAAAATATACTAAACAATACAATTAGACAAACAGAGTATCTTATGCATTTCTAGGGGTTAGGTATAGTAGAGTGATATGTGTAAAATGGATAAGTAAGCGCACTAGCCAACATCATATTTGAAAATTGTATCATGTTGAAGCGTGCTTTAGAATCCTCCAAGAATGAGCTACTACACCAGTTTTGTATTGCTAGGCTATGAAAGTGCATTCCCCGTGGGAAATATTTATATCCTTCTTGGTCCCTAGTGGATAAATAGCATATCCATGCCAAACGTTGATGATTTGAAATACAATTTATTTTTGTATAAAAGAGTTAATTTGAAATACAAAGAATATATACATTTAATAAATGTGTTTTGTTTTGTGCTCATTATTAAACGCTTGCCAGGGACTCTCGCTAATAGTCCCATGGGTGTTTATTTGAAAGGCAAATGTATTGGAATGAGAAATCCCTTTTAAAGCCATGGTCGTTCTTTTTAAATGCTTTCAAATAACCCTCCAGTGGACAAAGCATTTGAGAAAGGTATTATTTTACATTGAAAATGCCACTATAAGTGTATTGCAAAAATTAATAATATATTTTAAGTGGTTACTCCCATTCTGGTAGAATACACTCCTATCCATAGGCTAAGGTCGATAGAAATGATTTTTAAATAAATATGGCATGGTAAGATAATACTTGATTCTGATGGTGCTGCCATCTTTATATCGCCCCAGAACCTATGCTCCCATTCATATGTTTGATTTCCCCTTTGCAGACATTTCTTGCTTAAACTAAATTAAAAGGATCTGCGCTTAAAATGAACACATTCCAAAATTCATCTCATGCACCATGATTCATAATTGATTTCTAATCCAAAAATGTTTGCTCGGGCCACGAACTTAGTACCCCGGACAGGTTCAAAGATGCAGTTGTGTTTTTACTCTATAATATATTTGCATTGGAACAACAATTCTTATTGAAATTTTCAAGGTTTACTCTGGAGACAATTTCTAAAATGGAAATTAAATGTTTTCATCAACATTCCTTATCTTCTGATTTTGATTGACAATATTCGAAACGACGTTAAAAGTTCAATTGTTCAAGCAAAACCTGTTTTTCATTGACAGTGAAGCGTTTTTGTAAAAAGCCTATCAAAATCACAAGATTTGGAATTTTGATAAAACATTTAATTTCCATTTTGAAAATTGTCTCCAGAATATATCTTGAAAATTTCAATGAGAATGGTTGTAAAAACAAAACTGCATCATTGAACCTGTCCCGGGTATTAAGTTTAGACCTATAAAAGTCAGTCATTCTTCAGATAATAGAGAAGTTTCGATAAAAGTTTTTTCGAAAACGTTTACGTAAACTTGTACTTTAAACGGTCTTGACACACTTAAATCAATTTGAAATTGGTTTTAATGAATTGTTCCCAGTTGACATGAATAGTTTCCGAATTGTTCACTTCATTCATCAATTAGTGACTGCAAATGTAATATCTGTTGCATCGTTGTAATCTGTGCATTATCAACTCAATATTTAGCTCTTGTGGGGCGGTGTTCTACAAACAAGACCCTTTAACGTGGTTCATCACACGGACGAGGGAACGATTATTTCATAGTTCTTTAAAAATATATAAAGTTTTGAATTCAAATTTATATTCATTTAAGCGAAGCCATTTAAGAATGTAAATACTTTCTATGTGCAGTGAAGTGGAGAAAAGGCATGAATCATGATTAGGTGATGTAGCATGCTGTTTCGAGTTGAGCAAAGATTCGCGTATGTTAGTATGTGTAGGCCTTGTTTATGCCCTGGTCACATTTGCTCCGATTTTCAGCACCGGTGCCCGACCGATGAATATTTGTTCAAAATATATACTCAATCGGTCGGGCGCCGTAGTAAAAATCGGGGCAAATGTGACCATGGCATCAGTGAGTGAGTTTTATGAATAGAGAAGTCAATATTGGATCTACACGCAAACCCTCACATACCCATGCGTGTCGACCAATGAACCGCGATCTCTCAAAATTGATAAGCTGAATACGTAAAGTATCCAACCCAAAACTTAGACTACCATTTTGATTCACGTATCAAGCTAATCTGTGCTAGCGATTATCGGAGCATAATAAGTCCTCTACAGTTTGTACAGGGTGTTTCATACGTTCATGTCTCCAAAGTCAGTTTGAGATGAGATAGACTTATAATGCAGGCCCGTAAGACACTTTTCTCCTAGGGGGGTGCGGTTTTTAGCTTACTAAAGAGAATATAAAATTGTCAATTTTTTTGCCGCGTAAATCAAATCGCGTAAGTCAGAGGGGGGGGGGGCTCAGTTACTCCCTATATTAGTTTGGAATTAACAAATGCAATTTCCAAACGTTCCAATTGTTTTGTGGGGGGTGTGAGGAGTGGTCCACTCCCCCTAGAAAATTTTACAGTTTTGAGATGCTATTTGGTGCTTTCTGGGCACTTTCAAAGTGTAAGTTTCCAAGTAGTACGCCACCACCATGGGAATATGATTTGAGTGAATAAAAAACCGAGCATTCAGGGGGGTCTGGGGGAAAATTGTGAAATTTGGTTGTATTTGGAGCGAATTTGCAACCATCTGGTACGCCTGTGCGTTATGAGTCAATAAGAAAATGTGTATTTTTTTCAAATTCTTTTTGGGTGTCAAAGTCAATGAGAGGGTGAAGTGGGGTGTGGTGCCAGTAGGGGAGCAAGGGGTTGTCCCCCAGAAACATTGACCATATCAAGGTGCTATTTGATGATGTCTGGGCACTTAAAAAATGTCTGAGACAATACATGAAATTCAGAATATTTTCTTTTGTTTTGTGGGGGATGTGAGGGGTGGCTAGCTCTCCTAGAAATTTTTACAATTTAAAGATGATATTTGGTGCTTCTGGGCACTTTTAAAGTGTATTAGTCAATAAAAACATTGAAAAACAATCACAATTTTCAAATTTTGGGGTAGTCAAAGGGGGGGGGGGTTGCCAAAGGGGGAGGTGGGGCTGGGGTGCCAGAGGGGAGCAAGTGTTTGTTCCCCATATCAAAATTTACGATATCAAGGTGCTATTCGATGAAGTTTGGGCACTTTAAAAGTGTCTGTGCCTAAAAGTGCCTATTTCCCAAGAAAATTTTACAATTTTAAGATGCTATTTGGTGCTTTCTGGGCACTTTAGTCAATAAAGTCAATAACAATTTAAATTTTTTTTTTTTTGGGGGGGGGGGGGTGTTAAGGGGGGGGGGCTGCCAGAAGGGGAGGTGGAGTGGGGATGCCAGAGGGCAAATAAGTGTTAGTCTTCCAGAATCATTAACTTTATCAAGGAGCTATTTGATGATGTCTGGGCAATTTAAAAGTGTCTGAGACAATACATAAAACAAATTCAGAACTTTTCCATTGTTTTGTTTGGGGTGTGAGTGGTGGCCCACTCCCCCTAGAAAATTTTACAATTTTACAACGCAATTGGTGCTTTCTGGGCACTTTCAAAGTGTATGAGTCAATTAAAGAATTTGAGAAAATCACAATTTTTTTTTTGGGGGGGGGGGGGGGTCAAGGGGGGGGGCGCCAGAGGGGGGGGGGTCTATGCAAGTGCAAGAGGGGAGCAAGTCCCCCAGAAACACTAACTATATCAATGAGCTATTTGATGATGTCTGGGCACTTTAAAAGTGTCTGAGACAAAACACTAAAATAAATTTAGAACTTTTCCATTGTTTTGTGGGGGGTGTGAGGGGTGGCCAATACCCCTAGAAAATTATACAATTTTAAGATGCTATTTGGTGCTTTCTGGGTACTTTCAAAGTGTATGAGTCAATGAAAAAAAAATTACAAAAAAAATATTTTTCAAAAAAAAAAAATTTCAAATTTTTTTTTCAAATTTATTTTGGGGGGTGACAAAGGGGGGTGCGGTCGCACCCATCGCACCCCCCCCCCATCTGACGGCCCTGTAATGTATATGGCATATAGGAATTCCTATTTCATTTTAAACCAAGAGATCTCAGACATGTGATGATAATTTATAAATACAGTTACAAATGGTTAAACATTTGAACGTTATATTACATCCGACATTGTGAAACTACTGTTTACTAATAATAGCCTTCGTTTATCAATGTAACACCTTGTAATTTTATCTAGAAGTACAAGTTTACGTCGAAAGCTATAAGGAAAATTAAGTGATAGTCACATTTATTTGTTACCGGCAACCGTACGCCTGCGGTCTATCATTAGCTTATCAACCATATAACGTAACTACATTATCTTAACATCGATTGTAAAATTGTAACACTTGCTTATTTACATTTTATTTACATCAGTACAATTTATAAATGTTATTAGTGAGTTGCGAAATATCTCTCCCGGTATGATTCTGCTGTCTTTTGACCTATAATTTGTTCGCAAATGCGTAGATTTTTTTAAACCATGGACGTATATCATAAATTAATGATAAATCTTAATATACGTCCATGCTCAACGTACAATATTGATGATGTGAAGAAAATGTTGTGGGAATTCTGCCTACAACGCGTGAAATAAGTTTTTATGAGTTTTATAAGTTTCAGCTTTCAGGTTCCGACATTCTGTCACTTAAACGGATCCGTTTCGGTTATACAGTATATAGATTCGACACCATTCCATTCAACTGAATAAAAAACGAGGGGTTTTTAACCTAAAAAAATAACAAAAGGTTTTCCCAGTCATTGAGGGTGGTAAGCAATCTCACACTCGACGTTTGTCGCAATGACGTAGCCTGAGGAGCATTGCGTCCACACAAGAGTTCCGACTCCCTCTATGGTACTAAGCTCCGGAACAGATCATATGCATGAGTAAGGGAGGAATGAGTCGAGTTCCTAATCTCTGATCCCTGCCAAGAGCGGGCAGTTCACATCCGTGACTCGCTAGGCCCCAGAAAAGACTCAAACCACAAGGTACTATAGACCTTTCCATACATAATCGCGCCCGTCCCTCCTTAGTTTCGATCCACTGACCCCCCGGTTTATGGACCTACTACGATGCCACCCGGCCAACTCGTTCTAAGTGTCATTTCCGGTCAAATATTTCATATATATCTTAGCGATCCACATGCAGTGTTAAAGAAAAAAGTACCACTTTCAAGGGTCGAACCTGAACCGACAGGACAGTCACTGCGCTCTAACCAACTGAGCTACAGAGCAGAGGTTAATAACGCCATCAAAAATAAGAGTTTTAACTCGAATCCGCGTAATGGCCAATCTTTACGTTGCGTTTATTTTAGTCAAGGATCCGAAAATTAGGAGCTCGGGGAAATATTTGGGTTTACTACACTTTAATAACGCAACGTGTTTGCTACAAATTAGGTTTATGTATTTTTGTGAAATATGTTTATAAATGAATTCGACAGTTTGAATCAAAGTACTTGCTTTGCGGTTTAGTAAACACAAGGAAAGACGGGGACTTGAAAAAGACTATATACAAAATAATGCGACTAATTGGATTTCTATATTTTAAAATCTAGCCTATTTGCTCACATGGTAAGTGTTGCTAAGTTTGCGTTGATCACGTCAAGAAAATTAGCTAATTTGGCACATAACTAAGAAATCGATTCTGTTTGAAAAGTGTTTGAAAACTAATTACGCGTATCATGGGCTTTCAACTAGCAAGGACGTCTATCACAGTGGTCTATCTACAAATGCTAAATTTCAAAACCTGAGCATATATTCAACGAATGGTTGCGTTCTGCAACTTCAGTTTTGGCCATAAATAATTAGTCATGGATTTGCTGAAGTGAGGAATTCCCATGTTAAAAATATGAGAATTTTCAAGAGACCATATGTGTATGAGAGCATACAATATGTAAACTATAGAGATTTTAGGAATACTCTGAGACAGACGGCGGGCAGGGCATGGATAGACGATGGGTAAAATAAATAGTTTTCCAACAAGATATGTACAAAAATTAATAATTACTAGTCTTTGATTAAAAATGCCCAAAATTATCCACACGGTCGCGGAGTAGCCAGCTTTCAGTCGGTGGGTGGGGGTGTGGGTGCGAATTTTACAAAAATTGATGCAACTTCATTCAAAATTGAGCTAAAAGCTTCAAATGAAAAGCATTTTAAAGCTCTTTTCTTATAATCTAAGACGTTTGTGGACCATTTCATGGATTTTGTTGTGAATTTCAGTTGCAGTTGAAATCGAGTCTGAGTGAATCTTTCAATGGTGCCTGAACTGATCCTGATGTCAATATTAACCCTAATGTTGACCCTTGGTTTCCACTGAATGAACAAAGAATAAAAGATAGGTAAGGATATGGTGAACAGTGTTTTTCTCTTAAACCAATTATTGGAAACATTCTGTAAAAACATCGTATTTACAATTTAATGCAAAAATTATTTAGAAATATTTTATATAACTGTTTTTGTTAACATTTTTGTTTTTCAAGTGCAATTGTTTTTGCTCATTTCTTCCAATTCTTGAGAATTAAATTGACGATGTGTTAAATTTTTATATTTTTTTATAACTGGTTTAAGAGAAACATATGTTCAAAAAGTTCACCATATCGATACCACTCCTTTACATGGCATACAATACCCTACCAGGTTGACAACAATAACAATATCGTACCATTTTATGGTATGTTATGGTATGATATGATATATGGGACAGCTTCCCAGTATCCATTCACTGCTATATAACTCGTATATCTTTACTTATAAAATAACAAACACAACTTTTATTCTTCATAAATTATATATTCATTTTTGTAAATAATCTCCGTTTTAATAATGAAATAATATCTGCAGAACATATTTACATATCTATGTACAATTACAATAGTATGTACTTTGCAGGGATACATTTTAGTTAAATCCAAGTGGATTAACTTTCACAAATATACAATAAAACAACAACACATTATCACAAAAGGTGAACTATCCCAGAATTCAAAGATGAACATATTTTCATGCAGACAGATAAATCAAAGTCACCGTTGAATTCTGGGTTAATAGCTCCTCTTCATTATCACTATTTACACGAGTAACCGTAGTAACTGTATCCAATTTGAGTCATTATCGTACACATTTTTTCTCATGTTTGTAGTAAAGTCTAAACTTGATTTTATTTAATAAACATAAACACACCATTGAGGAGGACAAAAATGGAAGAGACCAAGCTTGTATTTCCAAATGCAACTAACAGCTATCGGCTAACGGACCCACAATTTAATGGGCGAGCCATTAAAATATGAATAGTACCTGCTCCTATTCCATTCATATTACCAGTAGTCATAAAATAGTAGGTTAATCCGGTAGCCGACAGGCGTTATTTGCATTCGCGAATACACGCCAAGGGTCTGGTAAGATTCAAAAAACAATTATGAGCTAAAATTGGACCCTTCACAGATTGCAAACACACAAACACAAAATACACAAATCAACATTATGGTCTACACATATGTACATTGTTGTAAATGAAGAAAATAAATATTCATGAAAACAATGCTAAAATAAACTCAATGTTTACAATTCTATTACTATGACTACAGTAACTGGTTTATAACTACATGATCTTTTTTATAGAAAGTAAAAAATGAAAAACATGATTTGCGAAAATAAAAACTAATTAGCAGTATTTAGTTCATTAAAAATGTGTACTTAAATACGAGGCCTTGATTAGCACCACAGGGGTTGCCTTGGCAACCATTTGTAACAACAAAACACATATGACACTTAACATCATAACAAAACAATAGTTACAACCTAACTATTGAACCTACAAAAGGGTAACAGTTTGCTTACAGAGAGACTGAATGCCAAACACCAAATGCCAAACACCAAATTAAAAGAAGCGTTTTGTACTCCTTGCTCAATTTCTCGTAATTGTGTTGATTGTAGTTTTCTATGCAAATTGTACCACTTGAGATTGGCTATATAAGCACTAATTATGCCATCATAAAAATATGTTTCTTATCTTTGAATTAATTACATAATGTATTTCTAAAAAATGAATAAATTAGATGGAAAACTGAAGATGACACTCAATATTTCAACCTCTGCTGCAATCCTTGCCAACCTCTGCTACAATCCTTGCCAATCGAATTGTTTCTTATCTAAGTTAGCAAATCAATAACAAATACATTGTCCAAGTTGTTGCTTTATTCCCACATCATTCCTTGTTAAATCCTTATTATTCCATGTTTCACATTGAACCACACTGTAACTGATACATTCTTGGATCATGTTAGACATTCTGGGATATTACCGATAGGTTCTTGGAAATTATAACTGATGCATTCTAGGATGCTGTTACTGATGCATTCTGGGATAATGATACTGATGCATTCTGGGATGAAGACACTGATGCATTCTGGGATTATGTTAGTGGATGATTTTACTGATAGATTCTAGGATGATGTTGCTGGTGTATTCTGGGACTGTTACTAATGAATTCTGGGATGATGATACTGATGCATTCTGGGACGATGACACTGTTACTGATGAATTTTAGCCAAAAAGGCATCTATGTCCATTTCGCCTAGATTCACTGGTAACTTCTTTGACTTCTGGAAACAAAAAAAAACAATTTTTAATATTTTTTTTCTTTATTTAAAAATACTAACATAATAAAATTACAATTAATGAGTGGTTTTGTCATTTTAATTTACTTGACATGTAAATGTAATGGCCATATAAGGGGGGGGGGGGTTTAAATAAGCAATGTTTTGAAAATGTGAATGTGAAATATGGTCCTCCAATCATACCCAATTGAGTATTAAGGTATAAGACAAATAGTAGAAGCCATAAAATGCCTGAGTCACATTTGCTCCGATTCATTGAGTATTTTGATCAGAATTCTATTCAGTTTGGAACAAAATACTTAATCGGCCAGGTGCCAGTCGATAAGTCGGAGCAAATGTGACCCAGGCATTAAGGGGAAATAATAATCAAAGAGGGTCATAATACATGTATCCTTATTTTCAAAATAACCTTATTCTTTAAACGAGGATCATGAAAACTCAAAAAAAATTAGACATAACTGGGCACTCACATTTCATGAACATGTGTTGTATTGTAAGATTGACATAAAAATGTGATTTCTAAAAAGTAACCTTAAAGGCAGAATCAGATCTACGTGGCTGACAGAATTACTAGCAACATGTACAAGTGCAAAAATGGATGAATAATGTTTAAATTCTCCCAAATAATAGGCATGGTAACCATTCTTATAGAAAAATAATACATTATTGTAACAATCTTTAGTTTTCCTGAAATAAAGTGTGCACTTTGGGGATTTTTAGAAAGTAGACATGAAAAGGAATAACATAAGCCAGAAACATACAAAAATTGAAATAATTTTTTGTTAGGCTAGATCTGATTCTCTCTTTAACCTTTTGACTACCTGGAGTGACGAGATTTCTCGCCACCTCAGAAATGATCTTGAAACCCAGAGAGACGAGAAAATCCGTCACAATTTTTTTCACTAAAATTGCTCTTATTTGAACAATTTTCATCCGGTTTACACAAAAATTGTTTCAAAATGTGTAGAAATGTTCTCTGCCGTCTAAAGTTACTAAGTTGAGCTTCTATAGTTGTATAGGTATGTAGTAAAATGTCAAATGGTGGCAAAAATGAAAAATGAAAAATTCTTTGGTTTCAACCGATTTTAGAGCCTGGGATTCAAGAGGTTAAATATGAAAAATAATATATGAAGAACTTACACTCTTTGTCTTGTACTTCTTTGGCTGGAAATAGAGAACAAAATATTAAATCATTTGCAAATTTATTGCATTTCTTTGAAGTTTTCCCTCTTAAAAATACAAAAAAACTAGTCCATATTATTTTGCTCTTAATGATATCATCATAAGAGACATAAGAAGTACCCAATTTTGCATGATGAGTGTGAAGTGTTTCAAGATGAAATGCATTTGTATACAACATTTAAGTGTTCTACCCACGTTTTTTATGGAATATTTTTTGTAATTCTGCAATTGCAACATTTCAAATTTTTAACTTTTAAGTGAATATTTAAGAATTTTGTAACTTTCAAGAGAAACAATTTTAGAAGCATATTGAGTTATTAAAGGAACAATTCAATGTTACGAATTAATGAGAGATTTCAATCTGGAGATAGCACTTCTTAATTTCTTTATTAATCAACAACCAAAGTTGGTTGAAAGACATCTGTTTAAAGATTCTCGCAATCTTTATCCAATCAGCGTTTGCGAGTGTGTCGGCTCACGTATAAAAGGCGAATCCAACTCAAATCCATGCAGGGGTGTATGAGGTACTCGAATAGAAAAGAGCTCGTGAAATCTGAATTTATATGCACATGGTCAATGTTTACACATTTTTGGAGTTATTGAAGAAAATGTGATATGGGTGTGGTTCCGGATTTGAAGTCATTGCTGGAAAATATGATTTTAATACGTAAAATTATATCTATAAATACAGCACTAAAAATAACACATACAGTACATGTATGATTGTGTCCAGAAATGTTTAAAACCCTTACGGAAAATTCTGTCTGCATTTTGTCACCATTGCTCTTTCTTCCCGCATTCTAGTGCTGTTTGAATGAATATATTAATTAATGTATTTCTAACTAAAATATATCACATTTTTAATAAACCACAAACATTTAGATCATAAAAAAAAAAATTCAATACTTGAGTGAGCACGATATGCAAGGGTTACTAAGTTGATACAGTAAATGACCACTGATATTGTGTGAGTTCATGCACACAGCGTATTCTGGTAATACTCATTTGCTAACACCCCCACTTTCATAGTGAAGTGACTAATTGGTTTATGTTTACGTTTTAATGTGTTTTGGGTTCCTTGTTACAGCAAGGGGGGCCAGTAAAGTAGACTAACTTGTTTGCATGGCAAATTTTGATCGAATATGTGAGACACTTTAAGACATTTATTCATCAGAGGAGTTTCACAAGCTGCTTCAAGCACAGTGCAATTCATCAAGTTCAAAATCAGTTTTAAAGTTTTTTTAAAGTTTTTTAAAGTTTTAAATCATTTTGTCATTTGGAGGAATTTGGCAGTAATCTGTATTGTAGTTAAAAATCCAATAATCAAGACATTTATGGTTTTCATTTGTTTTGTCAGAATTTCTAATGAAACTCCTGAATTTTCTTACCAGGAGTTCTCTTGAAATAAGTTGCCAAATCAACAGACTAAAACAAACAAATGTATTACCTTTTTCTTTCTAGTTTCTTCACCATCAGGTTCTCTCTTTCTCTTTCTTGATGTTGGTTTTGGCGTTTCATGAGGCCCATCCTCATGTGAAGAATTATTTTGTTTATCAACGTCACTGGCCTCGAGTTCTCCATTCACTTTTGTTGTACTGGTTGGAAGTTGGGGGTCATCCGAGGACACATGAGGGGCAGGCACGTCACTAGATTGCGACTTATTAAGTGTTTGAGTTGTCTCTTGAATCACTTTTGGTATTTTTGATGTCTTTTTTGATTTCGTTTTTGATTTGCGTTTCGAGTCTAATTTTTTTGGACTGTTACTGTGAGAATTATCAACAACACTTGGTGAAAATTGGACCCGTTTACTGCTAGTTTTTGCACTTGGAGATCGATCTTTGATTGAGGAGAATTTGACGGCTTTTAATCCAGACGTACTTGGGCTTTTCATTATTGATTTCCCCGATGGTGAAGCACCGTTTGACCTGGTTGTGTTTGCCATTTGGATTTCCTCATGTTGTATATTTGCCAGATCAATTAAGGATTGTAACTGAGCAGTTCTCGGTGACATACATTTACTTGGACTCGCAAAATTCTTGGTGGGAGTTTTGAAGCCTTTTTCAACGAAACATTTTTCAGGTGTAAAGTCAGGTATGCTTACGATAACTCCATCTTTATTTGGGGTCCTCACTTCTGTTCCAAGTGCAACAAGGGCCTCCGCAACCTCCGTTTCAAATGATCTGTCATCTGATTCGACATTGTTAGACTTTCGAGGAGTACTCTGTTCGATACTTGTCGGTACAAATGGTGCTTCAGGTAGTGTACTTTTCAATTCTTTTGATTTCTTTAAAATTTTCGATGATTCTTTAGATTTTGAGATTTTTGATTTTCCAGATTTGGAGTCTTTTCTGGTATTTCGTTTTGACTTTCTAGAGGGACTTTTCTTATCTGTTTTTGTTGAAAGTCTTTCCTTTACCTGATTTTCGCAACTACTTCTTGATTCAGTTTCCATGTCACCAGGTGTTAATTCCTCAACAGAAGACTCCAGGTCCTTTTCATTCATTCCTGGATCATCATTCAATTCATCAAGTTCATGTTTGTCATCTGATTTCACTCCTTTTCCCAGAGTATTGACCATTACTACATTATTCCAAGTTTTCCCCTCTTGCTCACATACTGAACTTACAGGATTTGTCAATTTGGGATTAATGTTTTGTGAGATTGAGCTGTGCTCCGTAGTTGGAACTACGTTTTGAATAGTTCTCGTCTTTGATCCTCGATTTCTTGTGTGATATCCCTTGTATGTAATTTCTTCCTTCGATGAGTCAAAGGAAAGTGTCCGAATATGAGTAGCAATTTTGATTGCACTAGATTTACTAACTTTCTTTAGTTTATTTTGTAACTCTGATGGTGAATGGGGCTCAATAGATGGCAGCATTTCATCACTGTTACCACCTATAGGTGGCACTGATGGTAAATCATTTTCATCCTTACTATTTGAAGAGCTCTTTTTTCTCCCAGTCGATACTTTCTGCTGGGCCTTAAGTCGATTGATATTTTCACTTACTAATTCAGATTCTAATTTTCGTATATCTTGTACATCTCTAGGTACACCCTGTTCCAGAGCGGGTCTTGTTCTTTCTACATTTTGAATTGTCTCTGATAATGTCGTCTGCCTTGTACCTGTCCCTGGATTACAACTTGTGACCCCTAGTGATCCTGAATTAGTTTGTGTAACCCCCATGGATCCTTGTGTGATATTTGGACCAATCGGTGGTCCTTGAGTTTGTATAATTATTGGGTTGGTTGAGGGTATGACCTGGTTGTTTAGTGTCACAGTAATCGGGATCTGTTTTGGCGAGAAATGCAGAGACTGCACAGCACCCTGAAAGTACACAAGAATATATGGTTAACGAATGAATAGAATAACACGAGCAGGGGCGAATAATGGATCTTAAATTAGGTGAGGCAAAAATTCGAATATATTTTTGTAATATTTTGTTGAGGCAATTGCCTCCCTTGCCTCACGCCTGGCTATGTCCATAACATACTAAGCAGTGATATCCTGGAATTTTTCTCAACAGGGTATAAGCCCGTAGCCAGGGGGGGGGTTCAATGGGTTCGAGAGAAACCCCCTGGCCAAAAACTCTTTCAAAATCATGCAGTTTTCACCACTCTGAGCACTTTTTATGTGATTTTGGCCATTTTTGGGCCAAAACTGTCAAAAGTGAACCCCCCTGGTATTTTTCATAAGTGAACCCCCCTTGGAAAATATGGACCTGGGGTGCTCAATCCCAATTGTTCCAGTTATGGTCAAATCTCGATTTTCACCCTTTTGACAGGGTGCAAACAAATTTTCAGCTGGGTGGCATGAATTTTTCAACTTTTCAACAGGGTGAAATGTTAGTAAACAGCACATTGAAACCTGCATATTCAAACACTTCTCAATGTGAACACTTTTTCTAGGTCCTAAATTTGTTATCTTCCATTGACCTACACGTTGAAAAAACTTTAGAATATGAACACCTGCTAATCCCAATAAACACTTTTGGCTACTCCCAGAGGTGTTCAGATTAGACATGTTTTTCTATATAATAAACAATGTGCTACTTTGAACTATTAAACTTGAGATATTCAAATACCTGTATATGTTTGTTTCAGATTTTATAGGTGTCCAGTAATGAAGTTTTCCTGTATTGCCTGATATTGACTTAACTCTCGAAGCCACAGACAGCTGATCAACATTGAATTGACACAAACAATGTACCATTCAAGATATGTAATCAAGAAACACATTTACTCATGTCAAAATATATGATTTTCAACTTATATCAGCACTAGTTATTGACACCGAAAGGATACAAAATGTTCTTAGTGTAGAAATTGAGATGATGAGTCACCATTGTATACTTAAAGGCAAAATCAGATCTATAGGGGGTGACCAAGTTACAAGCAACATGTATAATTGACCTACCAATCTATTCCTTACAATCTGATCTCCCAAAAGATCTATGATATGTTATAAATTAGTGAAGTTATTATGGATTCAAAGTGCAAAAATGGGTGAAAAATGTTAAAATTCTCCCAAATAATAAGAATGGTAACCATTCTTATACAAAAGTAATATATTATTGTAAAAACCTTTAGTTTTCCTGAAATAAAGTGTGTACTTTGGGGATTTTTAGATAATAGACATGACAAGGAATGACATGAGACAGAAATATTCTTAAATTGAAACAATGTTTTGTTTGCCTGTCTGCTTGATCTGATCCTCTCTTTAACTTATTGAAGAAGAGGAAATACACCAGAATACATAGATGACCCTGATATGTCTAGAAGTTCAAAGGATTGGTATCGATATGGAAAACTGAATTCAACAATGTTTTTCTCTTAAACCAATCATTGAAAACAATCTGTAAAAAAACACGGTATTTTATGTAAAGTTGACTGATTGACAATTTAATGCAAAAATTATTTAAAAACATTTTATATAACTGGTTTTGTTAAAAAAATTTGTTTTTTTAGTGCAATTGTTTTTGCTCCTTTCTACCAATTCTTGAGGATGAAATAAAATGTCTTTCCGAACCTTGTTGGAACAAAATAGCATATACAAATATGTTCCTCTCAATAGTATAGTTATACAAAGGAATTTTTGGTTGATTTTAAAAAAGTATTCAAAAAATTAAAACAAAATCCCCCAAAATAGATAAAAATCAAGATACACCTTTTATTTCATTAACAAGATACTTTTTTAAAATCAACCAAACTTTCCTTTGTACAATTACAATATTGAGAGACCCAAACACGTTGTGTTAACGTGACAACATGAGGCCCTACTCTAATATCATATAGACAAATATATCTTCAAAGTTCATGACTTTTTTGTCAATAAATATGCCTGGAGCTAGGCTAAACCAACATTGAAACTGTCACTGACGAGGCAACCTCTTTGTTTTGTATGCATAACTATTAACATACTCAACTCATTCTATTAACTCAAAGATGTTTTAACACATAATATATTGGCCAATATTGAGATTAGAGATTTAAAAACTGTGTTTAAGAATCATGAACTATATTGTCTTTGAAGAGTTGAAGAGAACATCAATCAAATCCAGCATCATTCAAACAAAAATATTTAAACACACCAGATCGACTATTTATGTTAAATGCAGATTTTTATTGCTCAGATTCCAAAATATTGATTTCTCAAATGATAAACTAAAAGATGGGTTCAGTTAAATTAATTTCTAGGGTCCCCAGAGAAGAAAATGGAATTTATATAAATGGGCACACCAATGAATCTGTTGGACACACCCATGAATCCAATGGACATACCCATGAATCCAGTGGACACACCCATGAATCCAATGGACACACCCATGAATCCAGTGGACACAGCCATGAATCTAGTGGACACATCCATAAATCTAATGGACATACCAATGAATCCAATGGACACAAAAATGAAGGTTTTGATGTGGAGCTGAATGACATCAAACTGAACAAGAACAAGACGGAAGAAGAGGTTGATTACTATGGTAGCACAAAATCCAAAGAAGAGGAAGCGATGGAAGAGAAAATGGAGAAGACAAGAATGTCAAATAAGGTGCAGTGCTACAGGATGGCGAAGACTCTGTTGATAATCACCTCTTGGATCATCAATGTAAGTTTTCTTTTCTTACAATTAGTCAACTTAATGACATTAAAGGCTATGGTTTAAAGGTTAATATTACACCATTTATTTGTTATCTCAAAGGCTTCTATTTCCAAGATATTAACTAAACACTTTATTTCCATTATAGGGCATGCTACTGTCGATCCGCTATCCAACAATGCCTGACCTGCGTGCCCGCCTTGGCGTGAACTATGAGGAGCTCTCGAGGGCATTGATAGGACGTGATGTAGGCTGGGCTGTGGGATCCTTCATTGCTGGCATCACATATGACAAATTCCAGAGCACTTGGGACTTGCAGCTAGCTGTGGGTTTCTTTATTGAAGCCCTAGCAGTGGGGATTAAACCATGGTGCAATGGTTTGGTGTTGCTTGGTTTGTCTTACTTCGCTGAAGGAGTGGCACATGGACTTTATGGACTGGGTAAGAAATCACAATACGTATTGCTATTTTTATTTCATTTTGGAGATGTATCTGGTTTTAATGACCAAAAAGTGAAATAACGGTATTCATGCTAACAGGGTCAAAAAGGGTCATGAAAACTATGTACTAAAATCAAGACATCACCTTCAGTAAAATTGGCCTGTATTCTTATATTTTCAGTTGGGAATGCTACAATGATTGCCTTATGGGGAAAACATACCCCTTCACCAATGCATTCGATGCACTTTGGTTGGAAGACTGGTGCATTTTTAGCCCCTATGATTGCATATCCCTTCTTATCTGGGCGCATAGAGGTCCCTGCATTGGTCAACTCAACAATGAGTCCCGATGCAATGAATTCAACTGGTCCGATGCTCATAAATGGAACCATATCTATATTGACAGAATCTGAAATTATCTACCCATATTTGATCACTGGTGGCCTCGGAGTACTCGCTTCTCTTGTATACCTTGGGTTCTTTTTAGCGCCCCGTCCCGATGGGATCAAATACACTAACACAGCTAAAAGTCGCCAACTGAAGAAATTTTTGTCACCAGCATCATGCGCTGGTGGTAACTTGAGCTTTGGCGTGTTGATGATGATTGGTCTAACATCTTATTACTTCTTCGTTGATGCATTAGGCAATGTTTTTGTGACATTTCACACAGCTGTCGCAACAGAAAATCTCAACATGACGGAACAGGAAGCTGCCCTTGTAAACAGTGCTTCAACTGGAACTGGCATCGGTGGACACTTTCTCATGATACTCCTTGCAAAATTTATTCCGATGCCCGTGCTGATCTTCGCTGAGATACACGGTATTTTAGCTGTGAGTATCGCAGCAATTTTCCTCGTTCTCAATGATGTCATTGGATTCTGGGTTCTCAGTTGCCTGTTCCGTTTGTTCAGTGCCTCATTATGGGCTGGCGGCATGGCATGGTCGGAGAATTACATAAACATCACCGGCGCAGCTATCATGTTGTGGGATGTAGGATCAGGTGTCGGCGGTGTTGTTTTTAACTATCTAAGTGGATATCTATTGACCAATCACGGTGCTAGCACTATACTATGGCTGGATCTATCAGGTGCGATTATGATGTGTTTAATCTTGTATGGGACGCAAATTATCATGTCACGACATGGGCACAAGAGTAGGAAAGACTAATTTGTCCTCCCTTCGAGAGGAACAAGACGGTGACAAATAGTAACCCAAAACATTCTAATGATCTGGGGACCATTTACAGAAACTTCGTAAGAAACCATTGTTTTCTAACTGTGACATCATTATATCCATGGTTACAACAATTGATTTAGAAATTCATAACTTTACGAAGTTTCTGTTAATGTCCACCTGAATGATACAGTTTGGCCCAATAACAATATCATCCTATTTTAAAAGAGATAAGAGGAAAATCCCATTGATAGAGTACAAACAACTTCATGCTTATTCAAAGCAACATATTTTAGTAGTATTGGAGATGTTATTAACTGACAATGTGAGGAGTACAAAGGGAAAGAAAGTCCCATTGATAGAGTTAAACAAACAACTTCACGCTTATTCAAAGCAACACATTTTAGTAGTATTGCAATGTTATTAATTGACAATGTGAGGAGTATAAAGCTTGTACAAACAATTTCAAACTTGATACAGAGAAAAATAGCATCATGATTGTAAATATCTTGTTAGCTGTTATGGATTTACACATGCCATGGACTACTGTCAGTATATTTTGATAAGCCCAGCTAGGCTGGGTTGATTTATGTCAACCTACCAATATAAAGAACAATAAACTTAACAAATCTTATATATAATGTAAAAATGTAGTTTAGGATATATAACAATGTTAAAAAAATTGAATATTTGCCTATTGTAATGTTGTATTTTATACTGATTTTATACTAATTATGTTTGGCACTGGATTTTGAAAGAGTATACGGGCTATTTTTATAAATAAATGAAAACATATGATAAATAAATAAATCCTATTATCAAAAGAATGGTTCACTTTTAAAAGTTTATTTCTTAAAGGAGTTTTAAAATATGTTTAGGTTTTTCTCTAGGCATTGATCTAATGTCAAAAAGTAAGACACATTCAATGTTAATTAAAGACATACTGTGCTGTCTTGAGCCACGTGATGATCCATCACTATCAACAAACACATTTTGATGTTTACTTGACATTATATTGTATTCATCTACTTACCAACGCATCTGATTAAAGGTACAATCAGATCAATATTCATAGAAAATTTAATACAAAAAGAGTATACACATTGTTTTTTTAGAAAATGAAGGACCCACGGTCCTATGTTCACACAGTTTGGAACCTTCAGAGGAATTTATATCCTGACTTTCAAACAAAAATATTGATTTGGATTTGTAGTCTCGAACTTTGACAAACTTAGATAGCATAGTTGTGTGACCTATTTGATGACATTTGACCTTGAAAATTTTACTTATTCAGAGCTCAGTAAGGTCTTTTGTGATTAAGCTGACCAAAATTTACATCCAAAAATCAATTTGAAAAATCAAGCTTTTTGACCTTTCGAAGGTCACTGAAGGTCAAGTAAAGGTCAAATCCTAAAACTAATGTCAGATTTGAACTCCTGGTAACTTGTAGATGATTTTCAAAAAAAAATTTGGTCAAATTGAAGCAAGTTGAAAAATAACTTATTTTTACTGTTTTTTGGCGTCAAATATCTCAAAAACGGTAAAAATTTGATGCTGACATATATTGAGAAATATGTAAGGAATGCTTAAATCTATTAATGATGTAATTTATTGCAGGAAATGATCAAGTATAAGGCAAACTTTAAGAATCTTGTCAATCACAAAAGCTGCCATTGACTTTACATATGAGAAAGTTTCCTGAACTTTTCAAATTTTATAGAGTAAACACCAAAAACCGTAATTCCAAGACCTTTGAAATCTTCAGAGGACATAATTTGCATATACACCAACTACTAAAAGGTATTTGAAAGTTCTACTTCAACAAAGTGTCTAGTATTTACAGAAAATTTGACTTTTTGACGTCAAAATCCGCAATTTCTCGGAAACCGGGCGAACTTGGGAAATGGCAATGATAGGTCAAATAGGAATTATGGATATGCATAAAATGAATGTGGATAGGACTCAATCCGAATAGCAGTTTTAATTTGTGCGGCCAATGTTGACGGACGGACCAACGGACGGACGGACGGACGTACTCCCGCAGAGTCCTTTGTGCAATTTTTGTCTTGTGCTGTGCAATTAGATTAGCGGGTTGCACATTCTAGTACAGTCCACAGTGCCAAATCTGTCCAAGTTATAATGGACAATGTTAAGCATATCAAAATTGATACAGGGTGCGATTTTTCTTTATGAATGTGAGGTGCACTGGTTATGAAAACTGACCAACTTCTGGGTTGCACCACAGAAGTAGGTAAAAACCCCAGAAGGGTATATCTGAACGCATGGCGCACAGCACTAAGGACTCTGTGGGAGAGGGGACGGACCAACGGACGGACGGACAATGAATAATATGAGCCCTAAATATTCTAAAATTGATAATTTTTGTCTGACAACTACTTGCCAGCTGGATAAATCTGATACTACCTAATTCAACATTGTAGTAAAAATGTTGCAAAACGTAACACATGTACACGCACATTGATAAGACTAAAGCTGATGATTGAAGTTAGGACTGGAGTGACTGAAAGTCAGTTCATAAAGGCCAAAATCATGAGTTTATTTGTGATTAAATTGAGACAGACAACATGATAGATAAGCAAACGTGTTATTGTACTTTTATTTATATAAAATTAAACATATTCTAAGTGAAACACCTATGGTACCGCTAATAAGTGTTTCAATGGGTGTTCAAATTATACAGGTTCATTTAACATTAAGTCAATTATAGAGGTTCATTTAACATTAAGTCAATTTGTCTTGTTGACATTTTCCCCTAAAGCAACTGATGCCATTTGGAAATCCTGAGAAATTGATTGGTTGCATTGCACATATTATCAACAAAAGTTTAACTCAAAATTCTTTCATTAGAGACTTCTAATATTTCATTGTTTTTGAAACAAGAGTGGACGAATTTCTCCAGATTGTGGATATTTTCATTTGCTCACTATATAGGAGCTTGTTTGCAATTGAAAAAATCCTCGAAGCATCAAATCATTCAAAATGCCAATCAACAGGCAGTACTAGTTAAAATGGGAAGATTTTCAATGGCTAACACCAGTTCAGCATATCAATTGGTATAATCAGCATGATATGCACATTTTGCACATTACTTTAACCTGTGAGCCATAGTGTCTTATCTAAGATTTTTTACGATTTGATTGTTCAATCCTACATTTTCAACCCACTTTTTTGATTGTCGAGGCTACTGCCAGTACTGAGTATGCTACATGACATCATTGTCATATCAGTATGAACATGTACATCTTTATCTTCAATTTATCACACCTAAGGCATGAAACATTGTAATTGACATTGTTGTGACAACCACTTTGCATTGTATACAAGTGTTTTAACATCAAATCTAATCTTTTTGGACAGAAGATGTTCACGTACATGTATGCTGAACAGAGTCGGTTATTTAATCTATTGTTGAGATTTCAACGTATCTTTGGATCAAACTTTTTTGAATGCATATGAACAACAATTCATTTGGACCAAGTAAATGTTAAATATAACTATATAATATTGAATTCAAAATTTACAACACTTTCTTCAAGTCAAAATTTATAGATAGAACATACAAAAATTCACAAAAGGACCCATTCAACCATAAGTTAGTTTTTAAGGAAATAAAATGGGTCCAGTTAAATTAATTTCCAACGTCACTAGGTGTGAAGACGGAATTTATGTGGATGGACATTCCAATAAATCCTTTGGACATATGAAGGTATCCAATGGACATACAAAAGAATCCAAAGCACACACCAATGAAGGTTTTGATGTGGAGCTGAATGACATCAAACTCAACAACATTAAGACTGAAGAGGATGCTGATGATTCTGACATCAAAAAATCCAAGGAAGAATCGATGGAAGACTCAAGAAAAGCAAAAAGGATGTCTAATAAGCTACAGTACTACAGGATGGCAAAGACATTGCTAATTATCATCTCTTGGGTTGTCAATGTAAGTTAGATTTGAAGAAGATATATCCCATTGCCACATTGAGTTTACATAATCCCCATGCAAAAGGGCATTCTCATGTTGAAATAGGATTTTTGAAAGACTCTATAAATCATTTATTGAAAATCTGCCAATTTAGTTTTCAAAATATGTATAGTTTTTCTTTTTTCTTTGTAGAATTTCATTAAGTATTTCAAATGTTTTCTTGATATTAGATGAAGCATACATGAAGCATATAACGTGGATCATATGCCCCTTGGGGTGTCTTCCACTATTGTGATTGTACTTGTATTATTTGTAATTTAGGAAATAAATAAAACAAACAAACAAAAAATATCTGAAAACATGAATGAAAATTATATGACCAATGAAAATCACAAAATTGGAGTAGTTGAAAGACAAAGTAGATTTCAATAAAATAATATAATTTCAATCATTCAGGGGATGCTAATGTCAATCCGCTTTCCCACAATGCCTGATCTGCACGATCGACTGGGAGTGAACTATGAGGAACTGTCTAGAGCACTACTAGGACGTGACATAGGCTGGGCTATGGGCTCCCTCATTGCTGGCATCACATATGACAGATTTCAAAGCACTTGGGACTTGCAGCTAGCTGTGGGTTTCTTTATTGAGGCCATAGCTGTTGGCATTAAACCATGGTGTAATGGTTTGGCTGTACTTGGTCTGTCCTACTGGGCCGAGGGTGTGTCACATGGACTTTATGGACTAGGTAAGATATACAAATAAATAGTCTCTTTTCTGAATAGATTTTTGCATGGTAAACCATTGTTGGGTTTTTATTCCCTATTGACTGGATGTACTTTATATTCCTTTTCGAACTGTGCTTTTTAATAATTAATTATATCATATTTGCTATCATTGATACAATATATATATAATATGTCTGAACGCTATTTCCAGTGGGAAATGCCCTGATGATTGCCTTATGGGGAGAACATACCCCTTCACCAATGCACTCAATGCACTTTGGTTGGAGAGCCGGTGCATTTTTGGCCCCAATGATTGCATATCCATTCCTCTCTGGGCGTTTAGAGGTTCCCATATTGGTCAACTCAACATTGAACAACACAACAGAAGCGACGATTGTAAATGGAACAAGAATTATATTAACTGAGTCAAAGATTATCTACCCTTATATGATCACAGGTGGTCTCGGGGTACTGATTTCATTTGTCTATCTTGGGTTTTTCCTTGCGCCACGCCCTGATGGTATGAGATTCACCAACACAGCAAAGAGTAGACGACTGAAACAATTCCTGTCACCTGCATCATGTGCTGGTGGTAACTTAAGATTTGGTACACTAATGATGATCTGTCTTACCCTTTATTACTTATTCAATGATATAGTAGGCAATGTCTTTGGCAATTTCCAAACAGCTGTTGCAACAAAAAGTTTAAATATGACAAAACAGGAAGCTGCACTCTTAAACAGCGCATCAAGTGGAACTGCTCTAGCGACACAGTTTCTGATGATCTTTCTAGCAAAATATGTCCCGATGCCTGTGCTAGTCTTCAGCGAGGTGCATGGTATTTTAGCAGTTAGCATTGCTGCTTTTTTCTTCGTCCTAAACAACATCCTGGGCTTCACGATCTTGAGTTGCGCGTTTCGATTCTTCAGCGCTGCATTCTGGGCCGGAGGCATGGCATGGGCAGAAAATTACATTGACATCACTGGAGCGGCTATCATGTTGTGGAACATAGGTTCAGGGGTAGGAGGTGTGTTTACATACCTGAGTGGCTATCTATTCAGTAATCATGGGGTTAGTGCTATCCTATGGCTAGATCTATCTATTGCAATTTTGGTGTGCTTACTGTTATATATTACACAATGCATCATGTCCCGACATGGACCTAAGAGAAGGAAAGACTAATTCATTTTCTCTGATGAACATTTTGACCTTTATTACTTAGATTATTAACTGGGAACAGACATCCAGAGAAAGTACCTCAAAATATACAGTGCTCCATACTCAGCAGTTGCTATACTAAAAGGTACATATTAACTTATTAAAAAATGTGTTTGCACCCTGTGAAAAGGATGATAGAGTTACATCAAAAAGTGTAATAATAATGCTTGAAAGCCCACTATACTTAGCAAATAAAGATAAAATAATCATTGAAACATGTTACTCACACACTCAATCAAATATGATACAAAGCTTGATTTGCATAAATGTTGAACAGAGAAAAAATAACTCAAGTATGAAACGGCATTTGAAGCTCAGAGATCCTTAGTAGGGTGTGCACATTTTTGACAAAATGCATGTTTTAAGTAACTCTTGATTGAAAAGATGGCAACACTTTTATAAAATAAATAAATGAATAAATCATGTGATACAAATAAATTTAAATGAGACTGTATCATGCATCGAAGTATTTACATTTCAAATACAAGTATCAAAAAGTCCCTGATGCTACTGGTTGTGTAAGTAGAGATCCCAGTTAATTAGCATTGAACTCTCACAGGCAACTTATGCTTGATAGCCATGTATCTGGTCTAGGGTTACAAAGGTCAATTGACTTATCCGTTTTAAAAGGCCACCATACATTATTCAAATGTCGTTGGTTGTTGGCAATGACTCCATCATATTAATTATATAATATAATGCAGTCACGACTTCTTTTTCATGAAATTTTGCAGAGCTTTTAAAGGAGTTGGGTAAACTAGCAACAGAGAGTGCCCCAATTGAAGTGTGAAAAAACTTTTTTTAAGAATAGGAGAAAAAAAACATCAGAAATGCATAGATTGAAGTCTATATTTTTGGGTAGTACTTTTAAAAAAATTTGGAAAAAATTGTTACGGTGTCTGGAGACCTTCAAAGAGGGTGGGGGCCAGAAGGAAAAAAATTCACATATTTTACAACCCTCTTGATGAATTCCAATTTACTCAGCTATGAATGAATGTTTTTGATTTATCTGTCCAGGATTATGTAAATATATATTTATTTGATCCATACATACAATTGATTTAAACAATATGTACAGTTTAGAGGTAAGTAAAGCTTTGAAAGGACATTTCATGCTGAGTCTGGGTGACATTTTTATTCACTGGAGGTAGTAATCCTTTGAGTGTTTTCACATAGAGCATAACAAGTCTCCACTCTAATAAGTGCTTCTTTAGTTACATAAATGTTATATTGTTGCATACAAAGAATAATTTTGATGGAGACTTATTATGCTCGATGTGAATTTTAGAACTTTATAGAAAATTTTGCCTGCCATTTTTGTTGATTATTCAAAATGGCCAAATGCTATTCATGCTGCATATGTAGGAAGCAGGTTAATTCTCCTAGAAAACGGAGAAAGGTTACAATAGATTTAGCTTCACAAGTCAAGACTATTGCAACTAATAATAGAAGTGATATTGAGGTAATATAAGCTTGATTTGGGAGGAGATTGTTGTGATATTAGGTTGATATCAGAACTTATATTTTTTGATATTGCTTATGTAATGGCAATATGTTGGTAATTAGGCAGATATAAAGTTAATATTGGATTGATATTTGTCAGAAATTGCTATCGAATTGGGCTTATATTTGGGTGATATTGCTATAATATTGGGCTAATATTTGGGTGATATTGGATTGATATTGGGCCAATATTTGCTTGATATTTGGGTGATATTGCTATCACATTGGGCCAATATTTGGGTGATATTGGATTGATATTGGGGTGATATCGCTATCATATTGGGTCCATTATTTGGCTCATATTTGGCTGATATTGGATTTACAGTGGGATATTATTACAATCAGAATAATTGGGTGATATTTGGTAAATAAGAGGGTTGATATTGGACTGTTACCTAAATAATACGAGGCCAATACTTGGGTTATTTTGGATTGATATAGAGTGACATTTGATTGACAATTGGTTGATGTTGCTATGATATTAGGACATTATCTGGGTCATGTTTGGGCGATATTGAATTCGGTGATATTGCTATTGAATACATAGAGGTTATATAATGGGAGGGATGGAATATGAATTTTATCCTGAGGTAAAATATGATATTGGCAGAGGAAAATCATGAAATGTACATTCTAAATTTAAATGAATTAAAAATAATAAAGTATTTTCATTATTTTAGGTACTTTTGTTCTCTTTCAGTGTTGCGTGGGAAGGGCGGAATATATTAATATAAATATCTCATTATTGGCAAATTGCCAATTTACTATATATTGTAATTCAAACCTCTATGAGACTAAATTCCTACAGATATTTGTGATATTTTAACCAAAAAGGTATATTTTGGTAGAAAATAATGAATTTTTTAATTTGACCTTGACCTGGGGAATATGACCTTGACCTAAATTTTCATACATTTTTGAAACACATATATCACATAGATTAATAAAATAAAGAGAAAACTTGAAAATCAGGTGGGGCTTAAAATGGCCTTGTTTACCCAACTCCTTTATTGTTTTTATCTAATGGTGTTATATGTAGTTGTTTTAGAGAGAATGTGGCGAATACATGTTATTGGAAGAAATATAATATAACAGAATTTGTGATGTCTGATAAATTAAAAAATCTGAACTCTGCATGTCTCACATTGGATTATGGTTTGGGATACTTGGGCTTTGTTTTCCTTATCTGGTGAACACTTCGATATTTTTTCTTTTTCTGATGTTTTTGGTCCTTTCCCCTTGGCACTTGTGCATACATTTTGAATGGCTAGCTCCAGTTCGGCGGAACAATTGGCATGATATACACACTTTGCACACCAGAGTTAGCCCTGAGAGTCACAAGTGTCTTATATAAGTTGTTTCACCATTTGATTGCTCTACCCTTTTGCAAAAACAGGTCTGTATTACTATAGTGTATAGAGTATAGTAAACCTGTTTATTTTGTATGGTGTCTAATTAGTGGCATCATGTTTTGCTTGTTAGCTGATAAATAATTGTTGCTTAAAGTGCAAAAAAAAACATTTATCTTTGTCCTGTGGCTCTCGATTCATCCATAATGAGCTTAATTGTCATAATACTACAGGGTGGTCAAAAAAGATGGCAACCATAGTTTTTTCTAATATCTTTGTCATTCTTAGAAATAACTCCCTGATATTTTACACATTTGTACATCATTCAATTTCCTACCAACCTACCATATTTCATGACCATCGGACTGATAGTCACAATATTACTGCATTTTAAACAACATGCCCAAGATGGACACTTACGGGCTGTATGTTATTCAAATGAACTCCATTTCGATGCACTGGTAAACTCTAACAATTATGTATTCTTGGGGAGCCAAGCACTTGGTGAAGTAGTGGAGGTACCTTCACACATATGCACAGTTTAGTGTGTTCTCAGAAGATACAGTCCTTTACCTTTGATGATATCAACGGATTTGCAATAACTGTCAACATCAAACTCTATTTTGTGATCCCCATGGAGTTCTTGGGGACTTTAGGTGAACCCAGGGGGGTTGATAAGCAACAACAATGGTTCCAACAAGACAGAACCATACCCCATACAGCCAATAAATGCACAATAATGCCTTTGGGACCACTTCAATAACCACATTATCAGCAGTACAACAGACAATGAATGGGCACCCCATAGCCCAGATATGGCCCCATTTAAACTTTACCATTATGAAAGAGTGTAGGGTAATAACACCAGAAAGACATTTGACCTCAAAATAAAGATCATATGTGTCGTTCAGGCCATACTTGCTGAAGAATGCAGTTATGTCATTGACAGGTTTGGAAAATGTGTGCAGGTTTGCCTACAGCACGATATTGGAAAACTGGGGCACCTTGTTTAAAGTGCTGTAATGTTGCGACTATCAGTCCATTGTTCATGAAATAACACAGTCTAGCATGAAATTGAATGATGTACATGTGTGCCAAATATCAGGGCAAAATTTCAAAAGATGACAAAGCTATGAGGAAAAGTTAGAGTTGGCATTTTTTTACTAACCTGTATTTGACCGACATTTTCAAGCTTGACCCACTCTTTCGTTTGAACTGAGTCATGTGACCCAAACACTGTCGAGGTGACCACCAGTGCTGAGTATCCTACATGACCTCATTGTCACATCTTTATCTTTAATTCATTGTGCTTAAGGCATTTAACATAGTAAATGACTTTGCCGAGACAACTTCTTCGCATTGTATACAAATCATTTAACCTGTGCATCTAATTTTATTGTTTAGAAGATGTTTAAAAACATTATATATTTGCAAGTACGAATGTATGCAGATAAGAGTCTCAAATTTAATCCCCAGTTGAGATTTCAACGAATTTTGTTTTCAAGCATTTCTTGATCATATGATCAACAGTTCATTTGGATCAAGTAAATGTTTATATAGTAGCCTATCACAATTTCTTTGAGTCAATAGATTTAGATAGAACATACAAGGATTCAATTCAAACCATAAACTTGGTTTTATTGAAATAAGATGGGTTCAGTTAAATTAATTTCCCATGTCACCAGATGTGAAGATGGAATTTATGTGGATGGACACTCCAAAGAATCCTTTGGGCATACGGAGGTATCCAATGGACATACAAAAGAATCCAAAGAACACCGCAATGAAGGTTTTGATGTGGAAATGAATGACATCAAACTCGACAACACTAAGACTGAAGAGGATGCTGATGATTCTGAAAATAAAAAGTCCAAGGAAGAAGAATCGATGGAAGACTCAAGAAAAACAAAAAGGATGTCTAAAAAGCTATATTACTACAGAATTGCAAAGACATTGCTTATTATCATCTCTTGGGTCGTCAATGTAAGTTGGATTTTGAAGATATACCATTGCTAAATCAAGTCAATAGAATTCTCATTCAAATCATTCTCAATGAAGAAATAAAATTTATGAAGATTTGTCCTAATTTTGTTGATAAAATTGCCACTTAAGCTTCCATTATCTATGACAAGTGAAAATGACAAATGGAAGTTGCTGAAAGACAAAGCAGATTTAAACAAATTATATTTTCAATCATTCAGGGTATGTTATTGTGCATCCGTTTTCCCACAATGCCTGATCTGCACGATCGACTGGGTGTGAACTACGAGGAGCTCTCCAGAGCACTGATAGGACGTGACATAGGCTGGGCTATGGGATCCCTCATTGCTGGCATCACATATGACAGATTCCAGAGCACATGGGACTTGCAGCTAGCTGTGGGTTTCTTTATTGAAGCCCTAGCAGTGGGGATTAAACCATGGTGCAATGGTTTGGTAGTACTTGGTTTGTCCTATTGGGCTGAAGGCTTGGCACATGGACTTTATGGACTAGGTATGATACTAGTCTCTTTTCTGAATAGATTTTTGTATGCTAGACCATTGTTAGGTTTAAAGTTCCCCATGATTGATTGTTTCTTTGAATATTCCTTTTCAATTTATCTATTTTAGTACTGTATATATTATTTTTCATTAGTGATTACATTTTTGATATATTGAAATTCTATACATTGATCCGGGTGTAACATGCAGTTATAGGGAAAACATACCCCTGCACCAATGCATTCGATGCACTTCGGTTGGACAGCCAGAGAATTGCTCCACTGATTGCCTGCCCTATCTCTCTTGGTGTGTGAATATATATCTTGTGATATAACATGTTTGTTTTACTCATTTTCAGTTGGGAATGCAATGATGATTGCCTTATGGGGAAAACATACCCCTTCACCAATGCATTCGATGCACTTTGGTTGGAAGATGGGAGCATTTTTGGCTCCAATGATCGCATATCCATTCCTCTCTGGGCGTATAGAGGTTCCCATATTGGTCAACTCGACAATGAACAACACAACAGAAGGGACGATTGTAAATGGAACTAGACTTATATTAACCAAGTCAGAGATTATCTACCCTTACATGATCACAGGCAGTCTTGGAATTCTGGCTTCACTTGTCTATCTCGGGTTTTTCCTTGCGCCACGTCCTGAGGGTATGAGATACACCAACACAGCGAAGAGTAGACAACTGAAAAAATTCCTGTCACCCGCATCGTGTGCTGGTGGTAACTTAAGATTTGGTACACTGATGATGATCTGTCTTACCTCTTATTACTTCTTTGCGGACACATTAGGCAATGCCTTTGGCTCTTTCCACACCGCCGTTGCAACGAAAACATTAAATATGACGAAACAGGAAGCTGCTCTCATAAACAGTGCATCAAGTGGAACTGCCCTCGCGAAACATTTCCTGATGATCCTTCTCGCAAAGTGCATCCCGATGCCTGTGCTAGTCTTCAGCCATATACATGGTATTTTAGCAGTAAGCATTGCTGCGTTTTTCTATGTCTTAAACAACATACTAGGATTCTGGATCTTGAGTTGTGCGTTTCGTTTCTTCAGCGCTGCATTTTGGGCCGGTGGCATGTCTTGGGCAGAGAACTACATTGACATCACTGGTGCAGCTATCATGCTTTGGGATATAGGTGCAGGGGCAGGAGGCGTGTTTACATACCTCGGTGGCTATCTGTTCAGCAACCATGGAGTTGGCGCTATCCTATGGCTTGATCTATCTGGTTCAATTGTAATGTGTCTACTGTTGTACATTACACAATTCATCATGTCTCTACATGGACATAAGAGGAGGAAAGACTAATTCAATTTCTCTGATTAAAAAGTGATCACTCACACAGGATAAGCTATAATTGAGAACCTGTGCCATTACTTGCAAAGAAGTTTAAAGAAATATTCCATTATTTTCTGCATGAAAATAATGAATCCGCTCATAAATATTTTGCGAAATTGCCAAGCTAATTTACATAGAGGCTTAACTGGTAACAGGCTATAAGAGAATGTTCATTATCATCTACAGTTATCTTCCCAGCATTTAAGCAAAAAGTTACCACATTTTGTTGAAAAAACTTGTTGAATATGTTGAAAATCTGTTTACACCCTGTCAAAAATGATATATTTTGACCAAAATGTTTACAATTAAGATTGAGAATATCATTTGGAAAAACTTGAACAAAAAACTGATATAGTGCCATTCAGCTCATGAGCTCCAAGTTTGACCAATCATAAAAGGCCAAACTTGAGCTATATATAATACTACATATACTAATGTTCTACATGAATACATGTAGACATTAACATATTTTAACTCTATTACTGGGGCAAAAAGCACTATAATACTGGCAGATTTTTGAAAATTGCCATATATGGTACCTCTGAGATAATATATATAGTATATACATGGGCATAAATATATAAAGGTTATTTGATACAGGATATATCTGAGGAAAATTCAATATATCTACCCGAGGAACCTTAGGGAACGAGGGTTGATATATTGTATATACCATGGGATATAACCTGTATCAAAAATTGAGCATTCAATAACTGATTTATCCCATACTTAGTAGTAATTAGAGAATTAAATATGCATTGAATGTTAGGGAACCCTATTGTAGTAATTACAAACGATAGTTACAATCAAAACATTAAATAATATTTATCTCAATTTAAAGTCCTCAACAATTTTTGTTTTTAAAACTCAACAGGTTTTAACATTTAACAGTGTATGAAATTAATATTTATCAAATAGAGCCAAATTCAAAAAAGCACCGAAAGAAATTCCTGGGGATTGCTGATGAGCGCAGCGGGAGATATTTATATCAACAGCTCACCTCAGATATCGCTTATATCCCCGCATGTTATTTATAGGATATCCTATGATTTTGAGGAATATCATTTTTATCTACGAGGTGATATTGATATCTGCACGAGAGAGCGAAGCGAACAAGTGCATATATCAATATCACCGAGTAGATTAAAATGATATTCTGAAAAAAATCATAGGATGTTCTTATTATCCTACACTTACAAGGAGTGTACTAAATGTATAATATCATTGCAAAATGAATTTCAGGCCAAATAGAGTCAATTTGGTGGGAAATCAACAAGCGGAGTATATCGTCACAATATCCTCCGCATATTGGGTTTTCCGGAGTATATCGTCACGATATCCTCCGCCCGGAGTATATCGTGACGATATCCTCCGGATATTCATTTTGCCCATAAATATCAAATTTATTTTTTAATGTTATTATACATTTAGTACACTAAGTGTAGGATAATTACCTATAACACTACTAAGTATGGGATAAATAGTGTTATATATCATTTTAAAGCATATGATAAACTCTTTCAGAATGAATAAGTTTTTAAGTCCCATTTTATAAGTTGTCATAAGTAACAAGATTCCAAAAACTACATTGGGTTTGTGCTTGGATGTGATATCATGTCCTTCTTAGTCAACGTATGTGCTTTATGTTAATCAGCACATTTATTAATGCTCCTCAAGAATATAATTCCATTGAGTCGATGAATCACTTATTGCTTATTATATGCAAACCTAAATATGATTAAACAATGGGTTCAATTTCTCAAAATTTGGATAAAGCCCAGCCCATTTCTAGCCAACCTTTTTATAAATAAAAACACTCCCAGATTGAAGACAAATACAATATATCTATTTGAATCAAGACAACCCGACAAGTATACTTGAATTAAAGAAGGCTTTTTATTCATTTATTTTTACCAAAATCTTGGTATCTTGAATCTTGTACTTGTAAGAGATTTTATAAATGCGTCTTATTTATAAACAATAAACAAAACCACCTGGACTACCATTTAAACAATTCAAAGAACTTACTGTTGTATTGCTGGATGTGACAATCTGTTTTGATGGTGTAAGTTGTACAAGAGTAGCAGGTTGAACATTGTAAGGGGAGGGCTTGCTTGGGGACATCATGTAAACACTAGCTCCTGTGAAATAGAATATGTATGACATATAAGTGTTTATATTGCTATTTGCAGATTGTCAGCTGCACAAGAATAGCAGGTTGAACATTGTAAGGAGAGGGCTTGCTTAGGGACATCATGTAAACACTAGCTCCTGTGAAATAGAATATGTATGACATATAAGTGTTTATATTGCTATTTGCAGATTGTCAGCTGCACAAGAGTAGCAGGTTGAACATTGTAAGGAGAGGGCTTGCTTGGGGACATCATGTAAACACTAGCTCCTGTGAAATAGAATATGTATGACATATAAGTGTTTATATTGCTATTTGCAGATTGTCAGCTGCACAAGAATAGCAGGTTGAACATTGTAAGGAGAGGGCTTGCTTAGGGACATCATGTAAACACTAGCTCCTGTGAAATAGAATATGTATGACATATAAGTGTTTATATTGCTATTTGCAGATTGTCAGCTGCACAAGAGTAGCAGGTTGAACATTGTAAGGAGAGGGCTTGCTTGGGGACATCATGTAAACACTAGCTCCTATGAAATAGAATATGTATGACATATAAGTGTTTATATTGCTATTTGTAGAGTGTCAGCTGCACAAGAGTAGCAGGTATTATGAAGAGTATGGAAAAAACTAGCAAAAATTAGAAAAAAAATACTCAGAGTTAAGAAATTCAGACTTGATATCTAGCCAATATCCCAGAATTTCATCAGAACTTACCTCCCAGTTTAGGTGCAATTTTCCTTGGTGTTCTTGAAGTTGCAGGACATGTGGCTGTGACAAGCCCAAGATCAGATGCTTGTTTAGCAGAGATAGTACTAGCGCCATCTAAACTTTCCGTCTTCAGTGATTTCTTTTTTACAGCACCTTGATTATAAATTCGTCTGAATTACTTAATTTTCAAATGATTGAAAAATTAACTGTGGCATTTTAACTACAAAATGTAACCAAGCTATTCTTCATCATCTCCAAAAATCAGAGATGGAGAAAGACAAAGTATATGAAATTTCCAATAATTTTATGTGTTTTCATTTGTTATATATGCATGTTATCTGCAATGCTAATGAAACCCTCAATCGTGTCTAATAAATGAAATATTACCTTTGTTTTTAGCACCAATTGTCTTCTTTGGTAAACTCAGAGTAGCTTTTAATTTAGGTTTTTTCTTAGTAGTACCTTTCACTGACTTCTTCCCAGTAGCATTCCCTGATTTAGTTTGCAGTTCTTTTACTATCTGAATATCACTTGCACATTCTATTTCCAAAGAATCATTAATTTCATTTTCATCCATTGATGAATTGATTTTACGATTTGAAGTTTTTGCAGGGATTCTTGTGCTGCCAGCTGTTGTACATAAGGGCATAGCAGCGCCATCTAGTAGATGAATTTTGGCACTTTGATTGTTGTTATTTTGAGGTAGTTCAGAGCTGCTATTCAAGCTGGTGGAAGGGTTGTTTTCAGAGGGTTCAATTTGTGTGTCGGGAACACATGGAGAAAGGATATTCTCCATTTTGTGAACTTCATGCTGAATGTTCTGCAGATTCCTTGTACTGTGCATCTCGGGAGACATGTGCAACTCTGAAATATCCACAAATATGAAATATATTGATTCAGGTTTCTTAAACTGCCAATCTTAAGGGACATATGCACCTCTGGAATGACAAAATGTTTTGCTCTAAACAGGCTCCATCATTTTACTTTTGTCACATGACATGATATTGACCAATCAGTGAGTGTGGAAATTGACAGTGTTAATCTTTGATTATCTGGTTGCACAAAAAGTAACAAAGTGTAAAGAATTGTTACTAATGCCAAATGATGAGGGTAAGAAAGTGTTACTGATACAAAATATTTATGGTAAGGAATTGTTACTGATGACTAGGGGTGAGACGACAACCCGATGAGTCGAGGACACGCGGGTTTGGGGCTTCGAGTCGAGTCGAATCGAGTCGAAGTTGATGAATCGAATCATTTTAGAGTTGAGAAAAAAATTCGAAAAAATAAAAAAATTCAGAAAAATACTGTCAATATGCATGTTTTTACTCGATATTGCATTGAATATATAAGTTTCAATGACTTGGATATGCTTGTATTAAATTATTATATTGTATGTACACATAAATGAAAGAATATATGTAATAAAATCAGAATAAACTTACGACGAATTGTGTTTGTTTATATTTCCGGCTTTCCACCATTGACGCATTAAAAATACGAACGGTCAAAAGCGATGTTGTTTGCACTTTATCTGACTCGAAACGGATTCGAAACTCGAATCGTCATTTTCTGACTCGAATCGGATTCGACTCGAATCGGATTTTTTCGACTCGTCTCACCCCTACTGATGACAAATGTTGAGGGTAAGAAAGTGTTACTGATGCCAAATGTTGAGGGTGAGGAAATGTTACTGATGCCAAATGTTGAGGGTGAGGAAATGTAACTGATGTCAAATGTTGAGGGTAAGGAATTGTTTTTGATGCCAAATGCTGAGGTTAATGAAATGTTACCCATGCCAAATGTTGAGGGTAAGGAATTGATACTGATGCCAAATGTTGAGGGTAAGGAAATGTTACTGATGCCAAATGTTGAGGGTAAGGAAATGTTACTGATGCCAAATGTTGATGGAAAGGTATTGTTACTGATGCCAAATGTTGAGGGTAAGGAATTGATACTGATGCCAAATAATGAGGGTAAGAAATTGTTACTGATGCAAAATGTTGAGGAGGGTTACAAAAAATAGTGACTATAACAATATATATGTCACTACTTTTCAGTGTTGACATAAAAATTGTTCAAAGAAAAGTAACTTGCTTTCATTTAAGTGAACTTGTTGTTGTCTTTGTGGAGTTGCACTCCTATTTGAATGCACCTGCTGAAATTGTTGTTGTTGTTGTTGTGGAGTTGTTGCACTGTTTGAGTGCATTTGCTGATGCTGTAGGGTCAGACTCTTCTTACTTGCCGATTTACTGAGATATTCCTTCTCTATGAAGTCATCCTTGTCTAAAATGAAAGAACAATTCTCATGGATGGATTGGCTCTTCGTTTTAGCAGTTATCACCCTGGACAAAGTGATAACTTAACCAAAATCTAGGTGGAATCGAGTTAGAAAAAGACAATCCTACCAAAAATAATTAAATTCAGTACCAAAAATATTGAAAGGTGTTATTTGTGTAGCTAATAAAGGAGAATTATGCAAAGGTCTAAATAGTATGTGAATTTACGCAAATTTCATTAATTTGTGGATTATGTTAACTTCTCCTATTTTCCCCTCTGTTGTATGCAATAAATGATCCCAAAACAAACAAGGGGATTTATGAAAAGTATGTAAAGGACGATTCTCGGTTTGGAGAACGAAGTTCATCAATCTAAATGAGCATTATCCCTGCTTCGGACAAATTTGATTTTTTTACATAATATAGATTTGAATGTCTTCTTTTGAATAGTCATAATTTAATCTGGGTAATATTTCTAGATTTTTCGCAAAAAAATATTAGCGCAGTACACTGATGAACTTCTTTCCCAAAATCGAGACTTATATTTTATTGAATCGGTCTATTTGAGCATTATCCCTGCTTCAGACCAATTTGTTATTTTTACATCTTGTAGATTTAAATGTCCTCTTTTGAATATTCATAGTTTAATTTGGGTAATATTTCTATATTTTTCATGAAAAACTTTTTAGCCCAGGAGGCTGTTCTCCAAACCGAGAATCGTCCTTTCTGCAATTTTCATTGATGAATTTTGTTGATTTTTCTCAGAGAGAGACTGCCATTTCCTTATTTTGTCACAGGGGCTAAATCAATCATGGTACTATAAAACCATGGTCAGGGTTCTCACCAGAATTTTTTTTAGACTTTTTCAGATTTCTAGACCGGATTTTGAATTACAAGCATTACATACTGCGCATGGAAAGATTTGTCGGTAGAAATTTTGTTAGTAATTTGCTACTTACCAACTTTGAAGAGGTCAAACAGTGCATCAAAGGCTGGGTCAGTCTGTGTCATTGTAACAATATCTTTTATGGCGGTTTCATCCATTGTATTCTCCTGGAATAAAAAATAAAAATAACAGCATGCCCAAAACCTAATCAGATCAGATTCATGCCAGCCAATCCAGGTGTCAAGACACCCTGGCACAAAAAAGACAATATAGCGCTTTGAAAAGTGTGATTATTACTATCTTTAAACTTGAATCCTTTTGGAAAATCATCTGAATCACTGGACCCCCAGAGTTTTATTATGGACAGAGTGGCGATAAATTGAATCACCAAATTGAAATGGGCAGAAAGTTAATTAGATTAAGTACAATTCTTCCTCCTGGTCAGAGCAGTGATTAAAAACTTACTTCCAAAAACACCGTACTGATTACTGAGTTTATTATGTGTGGAGAGAATGAACTGATATAACATAGCCAATCTGCAACAGTACCGTACAGTACCGTGAACACTGTACAACACTAAACTGCAACGGTACCGTACTCTTAATGTACCATACGGTACTGTGATTTAAGATTGCGGATTGGGGGTGAAAGAAATGAAAAGTCATAAACAAAATGTGACCACCTGGAAAAAGTGTAATAATTGTTTCAGAAGCAGACACTGAACTCGGGTCACAAAACAAATGAAGGCTTTAATAATATGTCACCACCGTCCCGAATAATTAAAACCGCCACTTTAAATTCAACTCACCTCAATTCCTAAAATAGCCTCAAGGGATCGCTCATGGGGAACTGGGCCTGGCTCAAGGTCACTCACTGGAGCAGTCAACGTCGCTTGTCCACTCCTAACACGTTTTTTAACAGCTGGTGAGCTTACTTTTTTCTGCACTCCAGTTTTTTGAGCTTTGGGGGGTACATGAATGGCACTGCTAGCTTTGTTGATGTTTTCAGCAAGTTTGTTGTGAATGTCGGGATTGTTTAGAAGATCTTGAATAATATTCTGCAAAAGAAAAAGAAAATCTATATTCTAAAAAGTTGAGTTCACCATTTAGTAGTTTAGTAGTAGTTTAACTGTTAGTATAATGTAAAACAATCAAAATTCCACAGAGTCATATTTATAATGATAATGAAGTATCCCCATTTTGAGGAATTTAGTGACTGTGTTCATGTTAGGATTTAAAATCACAAAATCCACAAAATTTACTTTTAAAATAATAAATTCACTAGTTATATTCAAAAAGACACATAATTGAGAAATTTCAATGTTTTATCAAAAATAGCAGTGTGACAAACAATTGAGTAGCTCTTTTCCTGGAATTTCAATGAAAAGATTTATGAGGGCCTCACCCAACTGACAGCCCATCCACCCCGACAGCTAAAGATATAGGCATACCTTTTAGTATGAGGCAATGATCACATAACACTTTGAAAATGAAAAGTGTGATAAACAGATAATGAAGGTTATCAAGTGTATTAAACAACAACTATAATTAAAATAAATAATAAGAAGTTAATAATTAAACCAATAAAAATGTAACAAAAACATTGTTCACTCATAGTTAATAAGTCATGAGGTCATAATACATTTATAAATATCTGACTGTACATCAGGTGATGTTAAATATCAAAATGGCGACAGCAATGGAGGAACATGTTAAAGAGACACTGCAATGTAAGGTGTGTTATGAGACATTAACAGACCCTAGAACACTACCTTGTTTGCACACATACTGTCTTAACTGTCTACATAAACTTGAGAAGAAAAGACAAGGGCAGAGACTAAGTCTAACCTGCCCAGAATGCCGACAAATTCACATTATTCCTAAAGGGGGAATAGCTCAATATAAGGTCAACTATACATCGAGTACTTTAGTTTGTTTGTTCCAAACCATGGATATTGATGACGAACCACAGTGTACAATATGTATTGAGAAACACCAGAAGGATATTGCTGCTGTGGCTAAATGTGTCCAATGCAACAAACAATTATGTAAACAATGCCATCATTATCATGATATATTTTCACAAGGCCATACCGTACTTGATCTGACGGGGGATGCAACTCAAAATATGGAGAGTGCGTTAGGTGCTGTTCATCAGCGTATAATATTTTGTGATATACATAAGGCTTCTCCAATGGAAATATACTGTAAAGAAGATGATTGTGTTGTTTGCGCTACTTGTTATGCAATTAATCACTCTAACCATGAGTGCCTAGACATCCATCAAGCTGCAGAGAGCAATGTCAAATATATTGATGAACTTCTCAAGAAAGGTGAAATGTTGATAAATCACTGTGAAAACAGAATACAAAACGTACATGCCAAAAACGATATGAGGAAAAAAGAAACAGACTATGCTGCCCAATTACTGAACAATGATGCAAATGTAGCTATCCAAGCGATTCGAGATAATTACAAAAAGAACATTGACTTACTGGCTCAGATAAAAGCCAAAAATGCCTTGAATGTAGATGTATGTGTAAAACATCACCGAATGCAAAAGGCAAGCACAGAGAGCACAATGAGCCAGTTAAGCCTTTTGAAACAACATGGACATGCAATACAACTGGCTGGCATGGCTAAAGACTTAGATGATAAGTTGCAAGAATGGTCTGATCCTCTAAAGGTCTTTCCAGCCATAACATTCAAAATGCACAGAGGAAATGTGTCTGATGATGGAATTGATTTTGGTAGAGTAGAAATTAAGGTGAGAGACAAAGAACAGAAAGAAAAGCAAGTTCAACTTAAAACAATTAAAACAACAACACCCATGGTACTAAGCAGATTTGCAATGGTTATTTGTGGTCTAACTGTTGAAGGTTTAGCTGTGACCAAAAATGGTAATCTTGTTGCTCATGGTAATGAAACTCAAGCCAGCTTGTATAACAAAGACCTTATACATGTGGGAACATTTGGTAGTGATAGTAACACCAATGTTACAACAAAAGGAGAGGAAATTTTTTTAACTGGCGAATCTGATAAAGTCTACATTTACAATCTGGAAGGTCGATACAAAAGGGATTTAAATTTACCAACAATACAAAAGTGCGGAGCTATAGCTGTCAACTCAAATGGTAACCTTTTCATTTGTGACACTGGCACAAACAATTTCTTTTATGTCAACAGAATAACTGGAGAGATCATGACTCATATAGAGTTCAGGATGTTATCATTCAACATCAAGATAGCTATCAACAGCAAAGATGAAGTTATTGTGTCTGACTTCAATAAATGCTGTGTGATAGGCATTTCTTCAGATTTGGAAAGTGTACTGTTTGAATATGGCACCAAGGGTTATGCAAATAATCAGCTTGACGGTCCCTGTGGACTATGTACTGACAGAGCAGACAATATCATAGTGGCTGATACCAAAAACAGTAGGGTTCACCTTCTAAACCAGGAAGGCAAATTAATCAGGTACATCCTGACAAGAAAAGATGGATTAAAGAATCCTGTGGCTGTGACTGTTGATAATGAAGGACATGTACTTGTAGGTGATTATAAAGGCTTTATCTGGATTGTTAAATATGCACAGTAACTTTTGTGTGTAGTAAATGGTTTATTCTGTAATATGTTAATCCTTTCTTATCATTATTTGAATTATCATGAAGAAACATAAAAATCAAAGCTTGTCAGAAAAATATATCAAAAGTTTAGCCTATATTATTAAGAAATTATCTCCTTTGATCTTGTAAGATTGATAGTTCATCACGATCATAGAAGGTATGAGAAATGTAGACTTTTGCTTAAAAGATTAATTGAGTAATTAATGACAGAGGAGAGCTCCTTTTCCCTCAGGCATCAGCATATTAAATATCAAAGATTATGTGTTTTTTTATGAAAAATGGCAGCCATTTTAAAATTCAGTGGCCATTTTGTAATTCAGCAGCCATCTTGAAAAGCCCTTCTCAAAGCATCTTTTGTCCCTAAGCATCAGCATAGAAAATCTGAAAGTCGTTAACTGGTTATCAGTGATTACATTTTTTACGAAAACTGAGTTGAATTGAGTGGTCATATTGAGAATTCCTTCTTGAGCAGAAGTCCTACACCCATAAGGCGTTAGCATATAAAATGAAATCAAATCCGTCAACAGATATTTGAGTTATCGCCTGGACACACAAACGGACGAACGAATGGACGGAGTAAACGAGTAGACAAGATCTAACAGACAAGATTTTAAGACTATTATGAATCATCCCTGAAAATTTGAATTTGATATATCAAAGTATTATCGCTTGCTGACTTTTCTTAAGATACTCAAAATGGCTGCCATGACTGAACCAGCATGTCAAAAACCTCACCAGATGTAAAAAAGAAGTGAGTACAGAAGATATTAGAGTTTTAAAAGCATTTGTGAAGCTGTTTTTCTTAAAGTAACAGACAAGAATTTTGGCATTTGACTAAAAAATGGCAGACAGGAAATAGGTATCAAGTTGAAATATTTCTACTGCATCTGTATGCTGAAAATATGAAGGTGATATCTGGATAATTTTGGAGAAAACTGTGGGATGTCCATATGTATGTAAGGGCAGATAGACATACAACCACACATGCCTAGGCCTTTCAATATGGAGACATAAAAAGTCAAAATCTACTGAGCTTACAGGCATATCAATGAGATCTTCAACAGGTGGTCGACTTGTCTTTTCACTAGTTGTCTCTGGTCGCCCTGTAGGGGGTCTTAGCTCATCAAGGGTTGCTGTTGGAAAACTACGTCTTTTAGGAGCATGACTGGAATGATAAAAACAAAAAAATATTTCATGAATTATTTTACAAAAAATGTACAAAAGTGCCCCAATCAATCGATTTTGGTACAAAGCTTCCTATGCTCAAATTACCAAGGCTTCAGCTTTATTCAACATCATGTAATGTGAAAATTTTCAAGGGTATGCACTAATAGACATACAATTATAAACGAGCTTAACCAATGAACTTAAAATGTTACCTCTTTCTTTTAGGAGTCCTCCGCAATGTTGAGAGCCTGTCCTTATTTGGAGTGTTCAATTCTGACGTGAATGCTGTGGAGCAACTGTCTGCCGGGCTCATCTCGCCGAACATAGCTAAAAATGAAAATAAAAAAAATCATTACAAAGCATTATCATGACTTGTCACCACCTGATTACAAACATAGCTAAAAATAAAAAATCATTACAAAGCATTATCATGGCTTGTCACCACCTGATTACAAACATAGCTAAAAATCATTACAAAGCATTATCATGACTTGTCACCACCTGATTACTAACATAGCTAAAAATAAAAATCATTACAAAGCATTATCATGACTTGTCACCACCTGATTACAAAAATGTAACACTATTATTCAGTTTATTCTTTATTTCGACCAATTCCTGTGTGTATAAATAAACAGTTACATGTGATATAAAATTAGTACATTATAAAATACAATATTTTAGTTTAGTCCATTTATAACTAGACATGTAAATTGAACAAGTTCAATTTAAGACTCCAGATTTCAATTTTTTTTAAGCTGAGTCATCCAAATACTTGTAAGCTGAGTCATTCAGCTTAAGCTGAGTCAGCCAGAATATGGACATTTAGACAACTCTTAGGTATGTTATCTTGGACTCCATTGACTTAACATGGGGATATCATCATATCAACTTTCCAACACTTCAAACCGCTATAACTATCTAACCAGAAGTTGGATCGAGATTTAGTTTAAAGATTCGGATTCCTGAGAAAATTCTACCCTTAATTCATAACTCATACGTTAAATTTGGAGAACTTTTTATTTTGACCCACTTTTCGGACACCATATCTCAAAATTCTACACTTATTTCATAACTCACATGTTGAATTTGGAGAACTTGCTGTTCTGACCTACTTTTCGGACGCCATATCTCAAAATCGGTAAGAGTAATCAAAAAACCATTTGTCATACGGAATTAGCGTTTTTTCAAAGGAACATGATGAAAAAAACCTGGAGCGAAAATACTGAATGACGACTGAGAAAACTGGCAAAATAGTGAAAACACACGATTGTGACCTAGTTCTTGACCTTTGACCTAGATAAAAATTTGACCTAATTTCCCAGAAAGCCGGATCCAGTCCTTAGTTAACCATGTAAGTTGGATTAAGTAAGCTGTTATAGTTGACGAGAAATTTGGTGAGGAGGAATAATAATAATAATAAAGAAAACAGGCAAAAACAATAGACTCCAGATTTTCAATCTGGAGTCTAATAATTTTCAAAAATTCACTTGTATAATGTATGTATGACATGTATATATATATGTATGACATATATAACAGTTGTTGGTAAATAGTACCCTTAATTTATACATATTTGGTCTATTTTAAGTATGGTTTTAAAACTTCTCCCTTTGTTCACAAAACAATATACATTCAAAAATAAAATGAAACGACTTCTTCTAATTTGTTACAATGGTTGCATATTCTTAGATTAATCTTCCCATTTCTATGGGTAAATTATGATTTCAAATCCTAAATTTTGTTATGAACAGACATATGCTCAATGAACGGTTGAGATAAGTATGTTACAGACGTGACAGAGACCACCAATACTGAATGCCAAACTTCACTAGTAGAAATAAGTGGCTATAACAAAATGACATATTGATTCTTGACAGATATTTGAACTTCTATTTAGTGACTTTTGGAGTCAAAGACCTTATTTGTGGCAATGACACTTATAAAGTCTTATGGCCGATCAAAAAAAGTTTTAACACTTGAGGAGTTAAGGTTACTTCACATCCAAACTGACCTGTAGCAGAATATACTGAAGAGGTTGGTTTCTTTGGTGGGGTCTGCTCTTGTTGTTTTCTGATTTGTTCCATACTCTCCCTCCTTTCTATAAGCTCCTCCCTCCTCTCAATTGGCTCCTCCCTCCTGTCAATTAATCCTCCTTTGCTGATGTCAATCAGCTCTTTGACAGTTTTGGTGCCATCCCTTGAAATTGCACCTAAAAATACAAGTCAAGATGAAGCCTAAGCCTTTCATCAAGTACACCATGTTGCTATAGTTACATTTTATATGCCATACGTTGCTAGGGTAACATTTAATATGGCACAGCAAGGCCTAAGGGCATTACGGTCAATTTCTCCTAAACTACATGTAGCTAATTTTGTGATTAACAAATCAGTTGCTCTTTTCTCAAGTAAATATCTCTGCTTTATTTTCCACTCAACCAGTGTGAAAATTTTGAGACAAACAGTCATGAAAAATTATTTTTGAGACAAATACCAAAGAAATAGATTAATTCATTCGAAGATTAAAAAAAAACTTTCAAAATGAAGTTGCAAGTTAATAATTGTTGTCTTTCAATAAAATTAATTACTGATCAATTACATGCAAGTCTTTAAATATTAAAATGTTAATATCATAAGGACCATTACTATAGTGAGAGACTAAATGGAAATTGGACTACAACACCAAAGGGGACCATAATTCTGTAAAAATATTTCACCTGTTCTTAGCTGAGTATTGCTAGAATTGTTGCTTTGTGTGTTATTCCGACTGCCCACTGAATTCGACATCCCCGTGTTTAATTGACTGTTCGTCTTCACATTCTCTCGACTCACTCCAGAATTTTCACTGTTTTGTTCCACTCCTGGTAGACTCTCACTAGACCCTGATATTACATTAGGAAATTCCTTCCGATAACCTGGTTTATTTGGCGACGTTAATTTCCTTCGAACACGTTGTCTTGTAGCACGTTTTAAAGGTGAGCTAGTTGCTTCGGGACGATTAGGAGATTTAAATGGAGATTCTATAATCCGTAAACTTTGACACGGAGATCCAATCGATGCTTGATCATCAAACTGAATATCATTTTCACTGGTATTTGCATTTCCAAAGGTATCTGAATTTTCATTGGTATTTGCTATATTTTCATTTGTATTTGCTATATTTCCATTGGTATTTGCTATTTTCATTGAGTTCGATGTTATAGTATGTGAGGGTGGTTTATTAAAACCCTGTAAGGACTGTGACACTTGGAGACACATGTTTAAGTGTCTAGTTCGTGAACTCTGCTTATTTTGTCCTCTTCTGTTTGAAACTGCTGTTGTAATATCAGGCATTGAAAGAAGCACATTGGACGACACAGGATTTAGAGGCCTCTGAAAATAGAAAAATAGTTCACCATTAGGACTGATTCAAATACAAGAAAAAGCAATGTTATTTGCAAGTGAAAACAATTATAAGTGGCAAGTTGCAATCATTCAAATTTCTTGCTGTTTTGACATACAATAGGAGCTATTTAACTTTTAAATGACAACATTAAGTTTGACTCATGAACTGGTTCAAAATAAATGCAAAATAAACATAATTTGACATTTGAGCTATTTTACTTTTAAATGACAACATTTAATTTGACTCATGAACTATGTCAAAATTAGGTGCAAAATAAAACATACACCAAATCTCCTCACAAAACAATTATTATATTATACAAATGAGAAGCCAAGACTGCTTTGAATGCTAAGTGCTACAAACCTGAACTGTGGGTGCAACTTGTGACGTACATATTGGACGAGATACTGCTGTGTCAATACGAGTAGGTCGACCCTGTCGAACACTGCTTTGTGTGAAGCTCGTTCCAGTCCCAGATTGTAGCAATGAAGAATCTGGTGTCTCTGAATGTAACACATACTGTGTCTGTGAATTAACATTCACTGTCCCTAACTGTAACGTATTTGTATGCGGAGATACATTTGTTGTCCCTGCTTGTAACGCATTTGTTACATTTGTTGTCCCCGATTGTAACAGGTTGATAACATTGTTATATTTATTACTTCCAGATTGAGATGCACTACCTGAAAAAAAAAAATTTTAGTCTCATGAAAAATATAAATATATTAATGGATGTTAGTCGATGATCTTAATACAAATAACGATGTGATTAAAAAATCTCCCTCTTTATGAATTGAAAAGGAAAATTTGAATTCACATTTTTGAATTATTTTTTGTGAGAGATAGGGAGTTTGCAATTTTATAGAAAAGTGATAAAAACTGCCTATTCAACTTCCGTGGTACTTCGAAATTACAGTATTATTTTTGAATTATTATTTTTGTGAGAGATTGGGGAGTTTGCGATTTTATAAAAAAGTGATAAAAAGTAATAAAAAGTGATGAAAACTGCATATTCACCTGAGGCTTTCCTGAGACAGTAATTGTTTAATTTTGTCACAAGAGATTCACCATCAATTGTGGTAGGATATTCCCTGCCTATCTTTAATAAAAGAGCATACTCCTGTATGTCTGCAGACTCCTCCAGAAAGACATTGTAAGTTCTATGACAGTTGACTTCTTTTAAATAGCCTGGAAATATGTTAAGAATAACTTCAAGTTAAAAATAAGCATTAGGCATTAAGGTGTCAAATACTGTAGATACAATTATTTTGATGCTACTTTAAATTTGAAGAATTTGCTCAATTTCAAATATTGACTGAAGTTTAATTTTTGTCTATGTTTATGTCATAAAGACAGGTATTATTTACTAAGATGTTTTCTGTATTTCTTTTGGAATAATGACATATGTAGAATTTTGATGACATGTTGACAGGAAAAGGGGGCCCAGAAGTTTAATTTCTGAACTGCATCGGACAAAAATTCCAAACTGAAATTAGACTGATTTTAATTTGGCGGATTCCGTCAAATTAAAATGGGAGCCAAATTAAGTCTATCTACAGTAATACATGTGCACATCCGACAGTTGTCTCAGTTTAATAATAATATGTTTGCATCCTACTTTGTGCCATATTACATCTGTCTTTTTTTAAAAACAACAACATCCAATGCTACACATAGCAGCATCAGCATACTTGATGCTGCATCAGGTAAGTGACTGGTTTAGGGTGAACTGAATCATTCCAAAGGCTTCGTTAAGTTATACCATTATCAAATTTGATTAAATTAACCAATCCACTACAGAAAATTTGCGCTCTTTGAAAAGTAATGTTAGGGTTGGGGCCGATGGATATTTTTCAAGGCATTACACACACATGTTACATCCTAGTTTTCTGCATGAGAAAAGTGCAAATTCTGCCCAGAAATTCTGCATGAAAAAGTCGAAATCCGCGATAAATTCTGCAAGCAACGATTTCATTTGATCTATCATGAAATTGCAGGGAATTCAAATTTTGTGTCATATGAGAATCTCTAAGTGCAAAAGCCGGTTTAGCCGGAAGCTGGAGAATTTTAAACGGATTTCACATTTTCCCTCCATGTCCTCATAAAACCAGTTTCTGGTGACAATGAAATGATGGTCTAAGGTGTCAAGGTGAGTGACAAATATAAGATGAGGTGGTTGACTGGAAAAATCAAGTTTTCCGCGAAATTCCGTATAAAAATTCAAATTCTGCAAAAAAATTGAAAACCCAAATTCTGCAGTTTTTCAGCGGCGATGTGGAATCACAGAATTCTAGTATCTGTGATTAAGAGAGAAAGTGTACATGGCACATCTGTATGCAATTTAGTGTCCTATATTCATTGAGTAGCAATTCATATATGTGCATGATAAGCATAGTAAAGACACAGGTATAGAAACCCTTTTCGAAAAAAACTTATTCCTGCCTGTATAATAAAGCATCAAATACAAGAAGCCATGTTGAACTTCAACTTCTTTCTGGGGCTATTTTGACCATGAAGTATTTCAACGTTGGCTTATATTTTCATGCAGTATGCCATGTTTGTTTTTTGAAAATAAATCAAAATTTCCAATGGGCGAGATCTTAATCCAAGATGGTCAGCAAAGAAAATGTGAACTATTGTGGCAGCACTTTAAACCATGTCAGGCAGTTGAAATTGTGGGGTAATTTGCCTTCCACAAATAGTATTTGCCTTTCACTAATAGATGGATTTGGGCTCTCTTATAGAATAGGCATCCACAAAGGCATGGATAGAATTAAAGTTGATGACTCATCATATTAAAACAAAATTAAAACAAACTGCTCCAAGAAAAAATGGTAATATTCGAAAACTGGATGTAAATGTCGTTAACGTCTGGCATTAGTTACTGGCTGTAAATTCTAAGTTAGCGATCCAGAAGATGTGAACTAATACATTGATCACTTCATGTGTGTTTTGGAATTTTTGGTGAGGTAATAAGAACAAAACTTGTAATTCAAATTGTGATGTGGAAAAATTTTGAACACTTGATTTCAAATTTTATGATTACGACATGACCCGTATACATGACTCACATCCGGCAGAGTAAAAAACATGCAGAGCTTTATCTTGGGACAAGGGCCACAATATAATCCTATATATCCCTAGGGTTTCTAACCACTCCCCAAAAGATGGAGAGTAGAAGGACCCCTTTTCATTGCCACATAAAATATTATTTTGGCATAGAATTCATTTATGGACCACTCAGCCATACCCCTTTATTCAAAAGTCCAACAAAAATTGTGATAGACCAATGAATATATAAATGGTTAACCATCTATACATGTTCTAGTAAAAGCCGTATAGACTGAAGACTAGGTCAATGTCGAGCGCATCATCTGTTTTGAATTTCTTCAAAAACTGAAAATACTGAAACTTGTTGAATATTGTAACAGATTGTATCACCTACCTAGAACAAGTCTAGCTATTTCCGATGGAAGCAAATAGTTCATAGTTGTCATCGTTGTATATTATAGAGCATTGTTCTCCCTATGTTCTCCTATATATCCACATTTCCATCATCTTTAAAAAAAATTCAAAAACATTTCAAAATGGCGGTCAAACTGATTCGACTGATTTGTATCAAATCACGACTTCCAATTTATAAAAATATTTGTCAAATGAAATTTGATACAATGATATCAATTCACCAACTTAAAATCTTCTTGAATTTACCTAAAATGTATTTTATAAACATTGAAATATGGTATTATTCGAACTTTTAAAACTGATTGTCGCAATTTTCTATAGCAAGTTGGTCTCTTCAAGGTGCAAAGTTTTAAAAAGTTCACGAATTTTTTTATTCTTGTGCTAAATTCAGTAATAACTGAACGCTTATTGCTGAAATGCAGCATGAACTAGTTTAACGAAAAATGAATCTCAGCTTTAGGACAGAAGCAAGACATGGTTATGCAGTAGAATATTCTCCATTCTTCCCTCAAAGATTGGCCACTGCAACTTCTCAGCATTTTGGCATAGCAGGTTTGTTTATCTTTCTCACAATCATTTCCAGGCAATACATGTAGATCTAGATTGATATGTTTCATTTCAATCATTGCTTAGTAATTATCAGACTCTGGAGTTCATTTTTGGTACGGTCGTAACTTCTGATTTTCTACTTTTTGATAAACAAAGACTTGCAACAAAATTGAAGTTACTACGGTCCAAAAAGACCCCTGTATCGCAGGGTATTTTATTCTTTGAAACCCATTGGGTTTTCTTTGAGCAGTCTGTGGGCTTAGAAGTTAGATGTCGACCAAACTGATATTGTATTTTACAGTACATGTATATGCTATTATCCCAGCTCTGTGTTTAGCATCAGGCTTCGTTGATATTAGAGGGCATTATGTCATATGAGAATAGGTTTACCTTCCAATAAATGTGACGAAATGGATTGCTCTCTTGGTTGACTCTGATCATTACACCTCAAAATTGGTCATCATTGGAATCTTTCCAATGATCATTTTGAGTGATTTTGGATGTTCCTCCACAATTTAATCAGTCATTTGTTCATTTGAAGGTTGCGGGACACTCATAGTTCTAGATATCACTCCGAAGGGACTTGTGCTCGCTCGGGCCCTTGACTGGAATGATGGCCTCTTTGATGTCACTTGGAGTGAAAATAACGAGAACATTTTAGTAACAGGAAGTGGAGACGGAAGTATTCAAGTATGGGATATTGCTCAACCAAAGGTAGAGTACGAGTCAGAGTACATATTGTAGTTTTTTGGGTCAATATGCAATATTTTGTTCACAAGCAATTTCTGAGTGTTAGTATTTTTCATGCATAGCTATAGTTACATGTATTTCCTTCCACATTATTTATGATTATGTAAACTGTAACCATATGATCAATACCAGGGTTTGTGTAAAAAACAGGGTAGCTGGGTGACTGGGTACCTAACGTTCCTAGCAGGGTTACCAACTTTCAAAGTTGCACATTTTCCCCTAATATACATGATGTGCAAAAAAACGTTCATATTTGTTATTTCGATACAACGCAATATCATGGCCGTAAATTGAACAAAAGAAATTAAACAAATGTGGACGAATATGCACACGCGTATATATTGAAACAGCAATTGCCGTTTATCCGTCATTTGATGTAAGATGACGTGAAATGCTTGGTTTATTGCCTACAAGTGAGTGATTGACAGAATGTTGATGATTGTTTCATACGATGGCAATTTCTACGAGATATTAAACAAATCTGGAAGATTTACGCATGTATGTTGAAATGTTAATACTTGAACGCTTTTCCAATTAACGTACAATGTACATGTAAGACGTTGGTTGCTTGTTTTATTGCCTGAGTGATTGACAGGGTATCGATTGGTTGGTTGGTATTGGTAGATTCATTAGTTTGTTTCATGGTTATTTGGTGAACCAGGTTACCCGTACACCCGTTTTTTTACACAAACCCATCAATACCATCTGTACTGAGATATACGTCACAATATGCTGATATGATTTCTCCCTCAATATGCAATATTGCTATATCTAGTTCCAAAATTTAACACCATTATTTATAATGTTTTTTATTTCCAGCCTGCCCATATACAGGTATACAAATTATTTATAGTAGTTTCTTGTTTCCAGCCTGCTCCTATACAAGTGTACAAAGAACATAGTAAAGAGGTTTACAGTGTTGATTGGAGTGTAACGAGAAATACCAACCTATTGCTCAGTGGCTCTTGGGATGGACAAATAAAATTGGTAATGATGTATCCTGTATCAGGCTTATTATGAAATAACTATTTTAGTAAAGAACACTTCTTCAAGCTACCTCATAATTAAAATAATCAGCCCCAAGTTTTCATATAGATGTCCGTGTGATATTCACTAGATATTCTCGAGCATATATTTCTTCTGGATAAATCCCATATCCTGAGTTCACATAAAGTAACCTCTCTATACGCTTGTTTCAGTGGGATATTCACCAACCCAAGTCTCTGAACACATTCCAGAGACATGAACATTTAGCATACAGTGCAATGTTGTATTCCCTCTGAATAAATCTCATATCCTGACTTCACATGAAGTAACCTATATACACTTGTTTCAGTGGGATATTCACCAGCCCAAGTCTCTTAACACATTCCAAGGGCATGAACATTTAGTCTACAGTGCAATATGGTCTCCGCATATAACTGGCTGCTTTGCTTCAGCATCAGGTATTTATGTCCCCTTTTGCATTCACTTAAAAGATAGCTTCATCTACACTGTTTAAATTTAAGAGAAGTCTTTGAACTCATGGAGCTTATCATTGCCAGAAGGACAATTTCCATATATGGTCATTTCCTCTGACGTTAATATTGACCAGCATTAAAATATTATTGAAACATGTTTTTCCTGCTTGCTGATTGGTTGAGAAAATGCAAGTTCACAGTAAAATCTGGTAGGTGGAATGCTTCAGTGAGTAAAACACCTTTTTTAAATGAAACAGGTTTTCTGTATAGTCCCATTATCCATTTGGCCAAAGTTGCTACATCCTCCGATCACAGGGCTTCAAAATCCAGAATATATTCTTTCTTTTTACCCTCTGCAATAAGCAGTTAGCAACTCGCAATCTGATTGTCTGACGCAACACTGCGACAGAAATCATGTATAAGTCATTGCGCATAATTAGATCATGTGATTCAGTTTAATTGGGCGCTTTCAAATTGGTAACGGCAGGGGTAAGAAGGAGGTACAGATTCTGGACACCTGAGGCCTCATTATCATCTGGTCGCAACGCAAAATCGCATGCGAATCGCATCGCAAGACATCGCAACGCAACTATTTCCCAAAAATGTTATTATCATTCCATCGCATCGCAAGACTGACGCAAAGTTATCGATTTTCTGATCGCAACTAAACAAAAAGTTGCGACGACGTTTACCCTGTCGCAAATCAAATCGCGAATCTAGTTCATCTTTGAGCGTTATTTTATCTATGTTAATGGATATTTTGTGGTGTTTTATATCGGTCATTTCACTACCTGTTAAGTATTAATCAATAGTATCGAAGAAATTGTTCAATTTTATTTATTTAGTATGATTAAAATATACATTTAATTGAGCCTGTAAATCCTTAAAAATCACGTTTGTTTCTAAATATTGCGAACGCATCACATACTGTATACGTCTTAGATTGGTGCCTGCAATATTTCGTGCTCTTTGGAGCATAGGATTTTCGCCAATTAAATATTTATCTAGCTAATAAAGCTTGTTTGGTGAATTAATCTTGCCACTACTACACTAATGTTCTGAGTATTCCTAGTGTATATGTACCTCACCTACATCGTCTGCAAAAGTACAAGAACACCAAGATGTTTCATTTCATTCTGGATCACCACAATCGTATTGGCCGAAGAGTATTTCGAGATAGGTTTAACCCACTCGATTCACTAAATGACATCGAGATGCTCCAGAGATACAGAATGCCGAGAGCATTGTTAATAGAGGTTATAAACCTTTTTGAAGACGAACTGACACCAAAGAATAGGAACAATCATTTCATTCCGGGGTTTCTAATTAAAAATGTTGATCACTATCAGATTCCTGGCAACTGGACAACTCCAAATGTCAAATTCTTCCTGCATTGGAACATGGATTTGTTAAAACAATGGTTGAACTCCCGTGGTATCTTTGTACAGTATTGGAGGTGCTCGTTTTTCTGAATGATCTCTACCATGTTCCCAGATATAGATTAAATATTAAAGACATTTTATTTGATCGAGTTTGAATATGAATAGAAACGTTGTTAATTCTACATAATAGAATAAATGCATCACTGCAAATTACTAAGTTGTTAAATTTAATAGTAGTCAGGAATATTTAGGTGAAAATATTTCAAAAATATATAGAAGCAATTTTAAGGTGGATTTCAAAACTTCATACCATTCTTTTGAAAACCTGAAGTGGCACCAAGCGATCCATTGACTTTTTCACCAAAAATCCAAGATGGCCGCCACGATGTATCGAAAAATCATAAAAATTGACTAAAGTTGTAATTTAATAAGTCAAAATGGTTGTATACTGATCAAACATGACTTATAATAGTACCTATTAGGTGTTCATATGCAGTTAAAGTCACTGGATCATTTTTGTATGAAAACTGGAGTCCCACAAGGCTCAATTTTATGTCCGCTACTTTTTTTGTCTAATGACTTGCATTGACCATGGCATTTGCACATAGCAGTGGATACTTATCCATTTTTGAAATGTAAGCACCCAGGACCACATTTCACCATGCACCCATACTTGACCAATGCTTGGCATGCCTTGGCTGCTTGAGGAAGGGATGTCAATAGTGGCACCAGGAGAGACATGTCATACTTCCAGCCCCATGTTGTGAACTCCAATACCAATTTTAGATGGAGATTGTACAGTTGCCCCCAAACAATACCACCTTGGTTAGCAAGTTCTTAAGATTTTCTGAGCAAGGCCTCCTTTTGTTGGTTGTATTCTGTCAATGACTGTATGGCCGCCACAGAACATTAGTCTTCGTGCTGCATTGATATCTATCTGGTTGCTGGTTCGATCATATAATAGAACAGTAAAACAGTTTAGGGACTGAATGGTCTGAATTTACAAAACCAGGTTTGTTGTAAGCATTTGTGCCACTCTTTTGTAGAAAAGCTGGAGTAACTTCCTTGAACACATTCCATAGCTTGAAGGCAGATCCTTTGCTATGGCCAAAGAATGATGCAGTTAATATAATTTAATATCTGTAATATTTGAGAGATTCGAAGGCAATCCAGATTGACACTTATTGGGCCTTAATTATTATTATTATATCTTGGTTACCGCCATATTTGGCGAGCAATAGCTCATTGGTATATTCTGTACTTTACATATTTTACACTCGAAGACAGAGCCAGAAACCCCTCCTTGGAGGAGCCCTGTGTTCTTTTGTGTGCACAGGTACACAGACATACAGGTACACACCACAGCCTTTTATACGAGTCGTGAACCACTCAGTCAAACACCCAGAATTACATGATGCACAAACAAACTTGTCTGAACCGGGAATCGAACCCGGGGCCAAGCGATATTGGTAACCTTGACTCTGCCACTGAGCCATAGCGGGTGGACTAATGCTGCAGCCATGGCAAGAACAACTACATCAGTATCTCCACTTCTGATTATGAAGTCTTTTTTCCCTCTGAGGTCATCTGTTTTACATGAACAAAGAGTCTAGTGTCAACTTCTTCATGAGTACAAGGTTCAATCATTGCTGTATCAGGCAAGTGAGGAAATCACTGAACAGATTCCACAATAGTAGTTATTATTTGCTTGTCATTTACATCAACCTCAAAAATAGAGTTGGCCAGGAATGCTAACAGCTCAGTCTTGTTCTGGCCATTTCTTAGAAAGCCTAGCCAATTCTTGGGCATCGGATTCTCTGCATAAACCATCCAGTGCCACGATGAATCCTTGTCAGGGACTTCCCACTGTTTTGTTGGTAGACATCCCAGATAGCATCTAATCTTGAAACACCTTCCATAGGCTGCCATAACTTGGGATGAGACATTGGTAGCATATTCTTGGAAGTTGGTAGCCACACCAGGACGCATCACATAGACCAGAAGGGTGCCAACTATTAAAATTGCATCTGCAGGTTTTTTCCAATACTTCAGATCCATCTGGCTTAGCTTCTCAACATTTAAGTAAGTCTGCTTCTGTTGTAGGTCTCATGGCTCCATACTTAGCTAGGGATGGCCTGAACTCATGTTTTTCATGTTTGAAAAACTCAGACATGTCAACGTGTCTTGATTGGCATCCCGTCATCCCTAGCTAAGCACAGAGCCATGTGACCTATGACAGACTTACTTAAATGTCTAGAAACTGGTCCTCTCATCCCAAGTTAAAGAGAGAATCAGATCTAGCGAGCAGCCTAACAAAAAATTGTTTCAATTTTAGAATATTTCTGGCTTATGTCATTCCTTTTCATGTCTATTTTCTAAAAATCCTAAAAATACACACTTTATTTCAGGAAAACTAAAGATTTTTACAATAATCTATTATTGTTCTATTAGAATGGTTACCATTCTTATTATTTGGGAGAATTTAAACATTTTTCACGAATTTTTGCACTTGGAATCCATTATAACTTCACCAATTTATAACATATCGTGAATCTTTTGGGAGATATTGTATTTGAGATAGTAATGAATAGATTGGTAGGTCAATTGCACATGTTGCTTGTAATTTTGTCACCTCCTATAGATCAGATTCTGCCTTTAAGGTAGCTTATGGAAGGTGTTCCTAGATGTTGTCTGGAATGTTTACCTACAAAACAGTGAGAAGTCCTTAACAAGGATTCATCGTGGCACTGGTGCTAGAAGGATGATTTATGCAGAGAATGCGATGCCTAAGAATTGCCCAGCTTTTCTAACAATCAACGGAACAAGACTAGGCTGTTTGCATTCCTGGCCAACTCTATGTCTGAGTTTGATGTTAATGACAAGCAAATGATAACTTCTATTGGAGAATCTATTCAGTGCTTTCCTCAATTGCCAGATACAGCAATGATTGGACCTTGCACTCATGAAGAAACTGACACAAGACTCTTTGTTCATATAAAACATGACCTCAGAGGGTAAAAGACTTCACAATCAGAAGTTGAGATACTGATGTACTTGCTCTTACCATGGCTGCAGCATTTAAGGGCGTAATAAGTGTCAATCTGGATTGTCTTCAGACCTCTCAAAAATTACAGATATTTAATTATATTATATTAGCTTCACCATTCTTTGGCCATAGCAAAGAATACCACCAACAAAAGGAGGCCTTGCTCAGAAAATCTTAAGAACTTGCTAACCAAGGTGGTATTGTTTGGGGGCAACTGTACAATCTCCATCTAAAATTGGTATAGGAGTTCACAACATGGGGCTGGAAGTATGACATGTCTCTACTGGTGCCACTATTGACATCCCTTCCTCAAGCAGCCAAGGCATGCCAAGCATTGGTAAAGTATGGGTGCAAGGTGAAATGTGGTCCTGGGTGCACACATTACAAAAATGGATAAGTATCCACTGCTATGTGCAAATGCCATGGTCAATGCTAATCATTAGACAAAAAAAGTAGCGGACATAAAATTGAGCCTTGTGGGACTCCAGTTTTCATACAAAAATGATCCAATGAATTTAAATGCATATGAACAACTTATAGGTACTATTATTAGTCATGTTTGATCAGTATACCACTATTTTGACTTATTAAATTACAACTTTAGTCAATTTTTATGATTTTTCGATACACTGTGGCGGCCATCTTGGATTTTTGGTGAAAAAGTCAATGGATTGCTTGGTGCCACTTCAGGTTCTCAAAAGGATAGTATGAAGTTTTGAAATCCACTTTAAGATTGCTTCTATATATTTTTGAAATATTCTGTGAACTTATCTCCTATTCAAACCCGACTATAGTTTAAAAATGAAAAAGCACCATTTTCTTTTTTACATAGACATGTACTCTGTATCTGTTGTTCAAGCATCACCCATCGCATTGAAGTTGACTCGTCGGAAAGAGTTAGATTTTCAATTTGAAATGAGAGTTCGTCTCAAAATTGTAGATTTTTAGATTTTCACATTTTCATCCCGACCCTGATTCAAACATGATTTGCTTTGATCACAATGCAAAAGACGTGTTTCATATTTTGTTCCAAAGGAAAATAAATGCAATACACTGGAGACATATTTAAACATATATCGATATGGAACCCACAACTTGCAATTTTCTTGCATGTGTATAAAATGTAAAATATACACCACCAAATAGAAAACTCATTAGCTGTTATCGTTTCATTGTCTGTTGAAAAATTATGTTGACAGATTTTAGATAGAAGCATTGTAGAACACATACAACAACGACCAAAAGTTCATTTTATTTCAGTTAGTTTCAGTAACATGACAACTTCCCGTTTTAACAGTTATTTATTTTCAGTGATGTGTGACTTACATAACGTTTTTTCTAGTCCTCATTTCCACACCAAGTGAACTTATTTTTTCAGTTACCCTTGCCCAGCAACTATCTGTGACTGTATTGTTATTTGACAGCTAACTGGTGCCAAAAGAATATTTGCATCCTTCTCAATGAGAGATACAAATAATTCTTGTTCATCATTTGTCCAATTCCTTGCCCTCGACATGTTTCTTCGACTACCGTCTGTTCAATGTAAATCGATTTGCATTTTGGCGCACTTATGTCTTGCACAAGTGTAATGCATGCGCAACCGATCAAATCATATCAATTATTGGATTTCTATCAATTTCAATCAATCAATGTCAAAAACTAGCGCCAGTGTCCTTTTAAATTTCGCGCCAAAATGCACTCTAGACTTGCGATCGCAACTTACGTTTTAATTGTTTTGCGATTGCTTTGCGTCTGCGATTGCGCTCAATTGATAATATCACGCATCGCATGCGTTACGAATTGCGATCGCAATCGCATCGCAGACGCAACGCAACTATTTGCGACCAGATGATAATGAGGCCTCAGCTCAGGAGGATGAAGTTACTATGAAATTGACCTCCATGCATGGGATACCTCCCTCCAAGATGAAACACTATTTTGAGGCAGTAAAGGTGCTCCACATAATATGCAAATTTATATCAAGTACTAATAAGAATGATATTTAACAACAAACAAAATGATTGTTATCTTAAATTCAGGAGACCGAACTTTAAGAGTATGGGACGTGAAGAAGCCCTATATGGCCCAGGTGACCATTCCTGCTCATGATTCTGAAATCCTCACTTGTGATTGGTCCAAATATGACCAGGTAGGTCACATGACTCGCTATAAGTTCTTTGATGTTATTCCATTTTTGCTTGATTTTGATGATGGGTTCGTTCTTAATTTAAATTTGACAAATAAAAAAAGTTCTCTTACTAAAATGTGTTTGTTGTGTCAGTTTTTACTTGTTTTTGATGCAGATTGTCTGAAGAGAATGGCCAGCATTTTCTCTTTGTAATAACTTGTTTAAGATAATAAAGTATTTATTTCAAGCTGCCAAATTAAATAGGCTTCAATAATATTCCAAAATAACCCAAAAACAATGTAGTTTATTGTTCATTCATTTGAATTATTCAATAAAATGTAATTATAGATTTAATTGTTTTATTTCAGCATCTGATGATAACTGGTGCAGTAGATTGTTCAATACGTGGTTGGGATCTCCGGCAACCAAAACAACATGTATTTGAACTGAAAGGACATCAGTATGCTGTTAGGAGAGCTAAGGTAAAATGCAATCTCTTTTGATTGTATGTTGTATGTATATTTATTTTGTCACCACCACAAAAATGTTGGAGACTACAACAATATGTCACTATTTGTGGTATTGTTGTTGTTTGGTGTTCGCCCTTTTGTATCTGTAACAAATGGCAGGTGATGACATTTTGCATGTTCATGCCTTAAATGTACATTATGTATGTATTTTTGGATGATAGTGTGAAAACTAAATGGTCAACATAAAAATCCCACTTTCCTAAATATACCACTGAAAAAATTTGTTTCTAGATAGAGTGAAATGTCAGCCTATAGTAAATATATTTCACTTACCAGTATCTTAAAAATTATGTAAGAAGAGTTTTGTTACTGTTTCAGTGCTCACCGTTTGTTGCTAGTCAAATTGCCAGTTGTAGCTATGATTTTACAGTCAGGTAAGAACTTAATATAATAGGGGAGGTTAAGCGTACATAGAACTTGGATGGAGATATGTAGAATAAAGGTGCTCTAGGGATTAGTCCCCCCCCTTTGTAATGTTTATTTGCAGTATTGAGTATTTAAGGTACATGGAGAGTTGTATTTAGGTCCCTGGAAAAAACAGTTGAGAGGGGGACTGTAAATCTGTTAAAGGACGATTCTCGGTTTGGAGAACGAAGTTCATCAATCTAAATGAGCATTATCCCTGCTTCGGAAAAATTTGATTTTTTTACATAATATAGATTTGAATGTCTTCTTTTGAATAGTCATACATTAATTTGGGTAATATTTCTAGATTTTTCGCAAAAAATATTAGTGCAGTACACTGACAACTTCTTTCCCCAAATCGAGACTTGTATTTTATTGAATCGGTCTAATTGAGCGTTATCCCTGCTTCGGACCAATTTTTATTATTAGAATCGCCCTTTGTCATGCTACTATATTTCATGCTTTTGGCAAGTTTGGGGAAATTTGCAAAACATAATAGTCGTGACATTCCAGTGCTAAACTGTGGTGTACCATTTTCAGTGTAACAGATTGGTAAATCAATTTTTTTGAAATATCCCAAAATATCATTTTGTGCGTTCTCACTCTTTTGAGAAACAACATCATGAGATGTTATTTTATTGTAATATTGTATTTTATTGTAACATTGTATTTTATTGTAATATTGTATTTTATTGCAGATTATGGGACTTCAAGCAGCCCCATCCTATTGAGACCATAGAACACCACACAGAGTTTATTTGTGGACTTGATTGGAACTTACACATTCCAGGGCAGGTAGGTGTTGGATATGATATCCTCTTGAAGGATATCATTCATATCGTATCCCCAACCTCAAAAATTTTTTGGGTTTGAAAATATTAATAATTATATATTATTCAGTCGGTGACATCCTCCGATCACAGGGCTTCAAACTCCAGAATATATTCTTTATTTTTACCCCTGCAACAGAAATCATGTGTAAGTCATTGCGCATACTTAGATAACGTGATTCAGTTAAATCGGGCGCTTCCAAATTGGTTATAGCAGGAGGAAGAAGGAGGTATGGATTCTGGACACCTGCTTAGGAGGATGGTCGGTGAACACCCAGAAAAATCCATAATTACTTTTTCTGCCAAAGTTCAATTTCTTGATATCCCATTGACACCCCTTGACCCTTCCTTAACACCTCTGATTATGGGCATTTAATTTTGTCCCAGCAAAGTATTGTATCCAAGTGCCCACTAAAAGCTAGTGCTTCTGTGTGGGTAGGCTCCACAAAGTCTTGTTAGTAAAATTCCATAAATCCTCACTGCATGTCCGTTAACCCAAAATTTTTACAGATGGGAGAGCCAACCTTCTAAGCAGGTGTCCAGAATCTGTACTTTCTTCTTCCCCCTGCTATAACCAATTTGAAAGCGCCCGATTAAACTGAATCATGTGATCTAATTATGCGCTGATGACGTATTCAAGATTGCTGTCGCATAGTTGCGACAGCGAACCAAATTGCAAGTTCTTAATCAGGGAAATGCTAACTGCTTATAGCTGGGGGTAAAAAGAAAGAAAATATTCTGGATTTTGAAGCCCTGTGATCGGAGGATGGTGAGAGCAGACTAGTGCGAACATATGATAGGGGTTTGGGCATGCTGGGTAAAGTGCGATATTTATCACTGTGTATCGTTCTATATTTGCAGATCGCTGACTGTTCTTGGGATGAACAGGTTAGAGTGTACTCTCCACAAAGTATAGCAAACACAAGGACATAAGGATATATCATATATACTGATAATATCTCCACAAGGACTTATTAGAGAGAGTGTAAACTGATAATATCTCGAGTGAAGAAATGAAGACGTTAAGTGTGTATGTAAAGGAAAAATCAATTTCGATTTTAGGGGCAAAATGAGGCCTTCTGTCGCTCTCATGAAAATATGAAATATTTTAGTAAAGTGATTGGTTAATCAGATATTGCTCGAGATGGTCAATCTTCCCATCCAATATAGGGATATAAGGTTGAGTTGAAATAAAAATAAAAAACAGGGGTTTGATCCTAGACTACAAGTGAATTTGTATATCTATCTCAGTCATTTTGAGTATTACTTAGTCAGTTAGTATGTTCAATAAAACGACATTTGGTTTGCAATGAGTGCAATCTATGATATTTATTATATACAATATTTTAGTGAAAATTGTACAATTGTTTGATTGTAAACTTATAATTTAACAATAAATACACAAAAAATATAATTTATACAATATTTAACATTTGATCAGATGATTTACAGACTATGTTCTACCAAAGTCTCCAAGAGTGACATCTATAGTCCGTCCCCTAAAGCTAGACTGTTAGGACAACAGAGAGCATTTTCGTTATAAGCAAAACTTTCAAGCTTGAGGCAAACTTTTCGTGCAAGTTTTTCTTTAACAAAAATTGAACATATTCTCCCATTAGGACTTGATGAATGACAGTTTGAAAACAATTGAACAATGGCAAAACTTGAAAAAAACTTTGAAATATAAATTGCGATGTGAATTTTGACTTTTTTTACTTTAATCAGGCAAAAATGTCATGTTTGATCAGGCTTTCTTGACGTCTTATCTCTAGACTGTCTAAATATCCTTTAACACTTTTTTGTGCAAGCTGATTCCACCGACATGTGTGTAATACTGCCATGACATCTTTTTGAATCAATGAAAATAAATATACTTCTCTCTGTACAAATATAATTGGCAAACAAAATCAACAAGGAATTAACATGACAAAATGTCACCACCAACTTGTAACTTGCTGGAAATTGTTATAGACGCCAAACGCTAATTGTTACAGACTCAAAATGCCAAACACTGTCCACAAAAAAGTTTGAGACTAATGACAATATGTCACCACTTCTGGTGGTGACATAAAAACTGGAGAGATTTCAGGAGACTTGTCACTTGCACATTAGAACTTTGGAAGTTGAGGGTCAATGTGACAGAAGTTATAAACTGACAGAACAGCCTTGGAGTTAAACTCTGCTCGTATTTACTCCTTACATGCATCTTGGTACAAGTGCATTAGAATAATGTAATGCACTGTATGGCTACTCCTTCAGTTTTAGTACACAACAGTATTGCTACTATAATGCACTTAAGTCACTATTTGTTCACTGGTGTATTAACTATTTTAAAATGCACTATGTAACATGTTCCTTCATTCTGCAATGTTGTTGCTACAATAAGCTGCAGTATATTTCGCCTCAGGTTTATCATAATAGTAGAATACTGTATTGCCAGTGCATTACTGCAGCTTATTATGACTATTGTCATAATGCACCAAGTGGAATTGCCAAACTCTTTCATTGCTGGTGCATTACTGTCAAAATAATGCACTATTTACAATGTATACATACAAAACCATTCCTTTTTAGTGCATTTCAGACACTATTATGCACTTTATGGTAAACCTGTTGCATTACTGTCATTTAAATGCACTATATGACAAAACCCTTCACTGTTCATACATAGTTAATATTTGCATATTCCTTCCTTCTTAATGCATTACTGTCATTTAAATGCACTATATGACAAACCCCTTCACTGTTTGTACATAGTTAATATTCGCATATCCCTTCCTTCTTAATGCATTACTGTCATTTAAATGCACTATATGACAAAACCCTTCACTGTTCGTACATAGTTAATATTCGCATATTCCTTCCTTCTTAATGCATTACTGTCATTTAAATGCACTATATGACAAAACCTTTCACCGTTCGTACATAGTTATTATTCGCATATTCCTTCCTTCTTAATGCATTACTGTCATTTAAATGCACTATATGACAAAACCCTTCACTGTTCGTACATAGTTAATATTCGCATATCCCTTCCTTCTTAATGCATTACTGTCATCACAATGCACTATATGACAAAACCCTTCACTGTTTGTACATAGTTAATATTCGCATATTCCTTCCTTCTTAATGCATTACTGTCATTTAAATGCACTATATGACAAAACCCTTCACTGTTCGTACAAAGTTAATATTCGCATATCCCTTCCTTCTTAATGCATTACTGTCATCACAATGCACTATATGGCATATTCCTTTTAAAAGCATTACTGTCATCACAATGCACTATATGGCATATTCCTTCTTAATGCATTACTGTCATCACAATGCACTATATGGCATATTCCTTTTAAAAGCATTACTGTCATAATAATATACTATGTGGCATGTTCCTTCTAAGTGCATTACTGTCATTATAATGCACTATATGGGGTATACCTTGTAAGTGCAGAACTGTTATTATAACGCACATGTGTGGCACATTATTTCCTTCTGAGTGCACTACTGTTATCATAACGCACTATGTGGCATATCCCTTCTAAGTACATTACTACTTATTATACACTATGTAGCATATTCCTTCCTTCTTAGTGCATTACTGTAATAACAATGCACTAGGTGACATATTCTTTCTTAGTGCATAACTGTTATCATAATGCACTATGTGGCATATTCCTTTCTTCTAAGTGCATTACTACTTATAATACACTATGTAGCATATTCCTTCCTTCTTAGTGCATTACTGTTATAACAATGCACTATGTGACATATTCTTTCTTAGTGCATAACTGTTATCATAATGCACTATGTGGCATATTCCTTTCTTCTAAGTGCATTACTACTTATAATACACCATGTAGCATATTCCTTCCTTCTTAGTGCATTACTGTAATAACAATGCACTATGTGACATATTCTTTCTTAGAGCATAACTGTTATCATAATGCACTATGTGGCATATTCCTTCCTTCTTAGTGCACTACTGTAATTACAATGCACTATGTGACATATTCTTTCTTAGAGCATAACTGTTATCATGATGCACTATGTGGCATAATACTTCCTTCTTAGTGCACTACTGTAGTTACAATGCATTATGTGGCATATTCCTTTCTTCTAAGTGCATTACTGACCATTGCAGCTGATGTCATCATGTCTAGGAGACATTTAGTTTTTGCCAGTTCTTCTTGTGTCTCAATTGAACAACTGAAAACATAGAAATAGAAATTAGGTCAACTATTGATAGAAATGAACTGTGTAAAGCTAATACTCTGACAAAAGAAATATTTGTATTTACACACCCCTGCAAAAAGTTTGGCATCTGGTCTGAAAGTTCCGTTTTGAATCACTTATAAAGCCTATTTATGGCTGTTTAAAAACATCCATCATCATTTGTTCAAAATATTGAAATTAAGGAACAAAAGGATATAAACATCAGATTTTGATATGCTATCCTGTGAAAACTCCAAACTTATGCAGGGGAGGGAACCTCTGCATTTTTTGTGAATAGTGTATTTACTTATTCAAAAACAAATATCAACCTTAACAACCGAAGAGCCGTGGAATAAAATAACATTTATGTTCTACACATTTAAAAGCTTACTGTCTACTTGTATATTTTGATTTCTCCTATTGATTAAGTATTTTTCCATCATGCCAGTTTGATTCTGATAATTCCTATATTTGTCACATATTTTAAATGCTGAACTATTAAAATTGTGAACTAATGTTAATATGGACCATCAATATCCTGCCCTACATATGGTATCGTGAGGTGACCTTTAACCCTATTAACATATGACATGCAGTTCCGCCATTTTGAAACCTGTCACGTGTAAATAAGGTTGAACGTCATAATACCATATATGGGGTAGAATATTCTGGAAGCCAATCCTATTTGCCGGTAGATGTCAGGTCACATCCGCTTCCTCTTGCCTCCATGGATATAGTGGTCACACATATTTTAATTTCTAGCGGAAAATCGACAAGAATATCATACTTTGGTAAGTCATCCACTATTTATTTTACTTTAATATATTTCATTATACATCAATTCATTAATTACGACACATATTTTAGTACATATTTCCCAAATTTGTCACCAAACTCATGGTCTGATTCAAAATTCAATTGAGTACTTTTTGAATTTAAAAAAGCAATCAAATGACCATATTGCAACAGAATATGAAAAAATAGATACATATGTACAAGGCCTATAACTTTTGTATAGTTCAGATAGTTATGTATAATGTGCAGTAAAGCTGTGGCCTTTTGTAATTTATGGAGTTTCAGCCATGTTAATTAATCAAAAATAACATGGCAGAGAAGCATCAAAATATAAGAGGTTACACATAATATAGCCAAACTACAAAACAAACCAAAATATACAAAGTTATGCCTTGTTTGAATGTTAGACTCAGTTATAGTTGCGACTCATCAAAAATTTATACCGGTAAATCAGGAGGATTGGCTCCCAGAATGCAACATTGATATCCTGCCCTACATATGGCATCGTGACCTTTAACATTATTAACATATGACATGCAGTTCCGCCATTTTAAAACCTGTCACGTGTAAATAAGGTTGAAGGTCACAATACCATATATGGGGGAGAATATTCTAGAAGCCAATCCTCCTTGCCGGTAGATGTCAGGTCACATCCGCTTCCTCTTGCCTCCATGGATATAGTGGTCACACGCATTTTATTTTCTAGCGGAAAATCCACCACAATATCTAAATTTGGTAAGCCATCCACTATTTATTTTACTTTTATATATTTCATTATACATCAATTCATTAATTAAGACACATATTTTAGTACATATTTCCCAAATTTGTCACCAAACTCATGGTCTGATTCAAAATTCAATTGAGTACTTTTTGAATTTAAAAAAGCAATCAAATGACCATATTGCAACAGAATATGAAAAAATAGATACATATGTACAAGGCCTATAACTTTTGTATAGTTCAGATAGTTATGTATAATGTGCAGTAAAGCTGTGGCCTTTTGTAATTTATGGAGTTTCAGCCATGTTAATTAATCAAAAATATCATGGCAGAGAAGCATCAAAATATAAGAGGTTACACATAATATAGCCAAACTACAAAACAAACCAAAATATACAAAGTTATGCCTTGTTTGAATGTTAGACTCAGTTATAGTTGCGACTCATCAAAAATTTATACCGGTAAATCAGGAGGATTGGCTCCCAGAATGCAACATTGATATCCTGCCCTACATATGGCATCGTGACCTTTAACATTATTAACATATGACATGCAGTTCCGCCATTTTAAAACCTGTCACGTGTAAATAAGGTTGAAGGTCACAATACCATATATGGGGGAGAATATTCTAGAAGCCAATCCTCCTTGCCGGTAGATGTCAGGTCACATCC